TCGACAAAGGTCAAGGTTCGTGGCGGGAGGCCTTTAACTCGATCGATGGAAAAAATCGACTGGCGTTGCACAGTCGCGTTGCCGTGCACGCTGTTGATTACGAATATGTCAAAGGCGCACCGTGCTACGGTTCAACTCCTATTAAATGGATCTATATGCATTGCCTTTACCCCGGGTACCATTTTCTATTGTTCCATCGAAAATCCATTTAACGCGATTACCTTCCTCGACGAAGATTTACCAATTAAACGCGTACCGAATTTTAAAGGCGATACTCTACCGTGTCATTGTACAATTACTTCGCAACGAATCGATTGCTTGAAAATTGATATTAAATATTAACGTTCTAGAAAACAATGTTTTGAGAATAAACAGCGTTCAAAGTTTCATAGCGCAATATCCGGTCGCGTGTACCGCTCAAGCAAACTATAACTTGATTATTAATTCAAACGGTTCGATTCCCGAAAACTCGGTGAAATTTTATATCTTTTTTTATTTTGTCGAAGTTAGCAGGAAAGTATCTCGTTAACACTTTTTTTTCAGTGATGGTAGACTAGGCGTCCAAGATACATTCTACGCCTTTTGTTTCCAGTTTGCAAAGATGGGGAATGAATGAGTATGTCCCGGAAACCGGTAGCTGGCTACTGAATGTCTGAAAAGGCCCTCCGTCTCGCTGTTCAGCTTTTCGAGGCTGGTTTTATACGGAGCCGTGCTCCAAAATTTACAAGTGCTCGATCGTCATTCAGAACGAAAGAAACGTTACTGATCAACGATCGCTTGTATAATTCGAGGTCGAAGGATACGCCGAAATTCACGATACCCGGGTGTCGGTGTTTCCGAGAAACTATCAGTGCGCCGCATGTGGCCACGGAAATGGAGTTTGCCTCGTAATCACACGTTTCGCCTGCAATATTCAGCCGGTATCGGCTTTTGTTTCCCTTTGCAAACATCCACTTCAGCGTGTTTAGAACGCTCTAGTAATCATCGAATTAGAGTTGCGAGCGTAAGCAGTTCCCATTCGCAGAATGATTCCAACGTTCTCCAAATTAAATCGACACGGGGCTTTTATTCGCCGATATTTTTTTTTTCTCCTCGCACAGACACTCGTTACATAGAAAGGATTCGCGTTGCTGGAGTTCAAACAAACCACCGGAACGCTGAGAACCGGATACGAGTACACCCACTTTTTTCTCCCCTGTTTTTCACCGATCGGTTATCGAAAACAATTCCTGATGATCGATCGGACGGTATCGGAAATATTGGGTCTGCAAATTAACTTCACTGCCCCTGCATTAAATCGCCTGCAACGTTTATTCAAATCGAACGTTTTACCCGACGCGTTGGTACCATTAAGCAGCCGAGGAATATTAACTTTAGAACCACGATCTTTGCATTTCGATCGAAAAAAAGGATGCCCCTGAGACGGAGGAATTGATTGCTTCCGTTTTAAGGGAAGGAGCTATCTTAGAATTTCTACATATTCTTCACCCAAATACGCGTTGTTTACATTTCGAAACAATAAAATCCTTCAATTCGTTCAGGAGTTATGCTGTTTTAAAAATATGCATAAAATTTCGGGGAAGCATTTTCAGTAACGAACTTTTTTCTCGGAAGTGCGCAGGATTTCGGGGGTGTGTCTATCCACCAAAAATGATTGTAATGGACCCCTGCAACTAAAAATATTTTTTTTAGAAAGATTTTAAATTTTTTCATTTCGTCGAAAAAATCCGATTATTGAATTTTTTCCTCGAAACTGGCTAGGAATTCGAGGGTATGACTATTCACCAAAAATGGTTGTAATCGATCCCCCGAACCAAAAATAATTTTTTTAGAACGATCTAAAATTTTTTTTTTCGCCGAAAAATTTAGGCATCTATGGAATTTTTTTCTCAAAAATGGTTACGTTTTCGAGGGTATGTTTATTTACCAAAAATGATTGTAATTGATCCCTGCAACTAAAAATAATTTTTTTAGAACGATCTAAAATTGTTTTTTTCGCCGAAAAATTTAGGCATCTATTGAATTTTTTTCTCGAAAATGGTTACAATTTCGAGGGTATGTCTAATAACCAAAAATAATTGTAATTGACCCTTGTAAATAAAAATAATTTTTTCAGAACGATTTGAAATTTTTTTTTCGCCGAGAAATTTAGGTACCTGCCTGTCGATATTTCTTATAAATTTCTTTTTTATTTTTACTGTATATTGATATTTAACTTACCTGGGAATTTGCACAATTTACAAGAGCACTTTTCTGTAAATACTTAGCAGGTAATGGTGGCTCTGAAAATTTAACTAGCATGTAATTGCCTTATTCTTTAGCAAAAAGATAGATAACGTTTCAAAAGACCCCTGAAACCATGTCGTTGCTGCCAAACAATGTAGAAATAATAACGCTATTAATTTAGTCCACGTTTTCCGAATTGAAGATCCGAATCGTTGGGTTTTCCGGTGTCGGCAGCCATTGTCGAACAGCGACAACAACAACGGGGTCTGGGAAATCTTGGACAGATTTTCTTGGTACCCGGGCACCTTTGCGTGAATGAGCGTCGGCGCACAGGCACCACCTGTTACCTCTGGTAGCTAAACAGCTATTCCAATTAGGGGAACGAGGTTCTTTTTATCGCCGTTCCCGCAACGGAATGAAAGGGAAACCGCGAATAAACATTTTCTCCCCTCGTATCTCATTTTGCCGTGGCATGATAAAACAAGCCACGACTCCGGAGATGATTCCTGACCCCTTTCGCGAAACCAGACGCAATGGCGTACCTAGCGTGCTCTGGTAATTATTCGCGACAGGCTCGTCCGTAATTACCGGCCGCCGGGGAATAAATGTAATCCGTGCCAAACGCGAGTCGTGAACGAAGAAACAACCGACGTGCCTCGCGATACCGTAATTAACACCTTCGCCCCCTCTCGCAATTGTTTCGTAATTTCAACGCGACCTCCGACTGGTTGGATCCCGTAAAAATACATCAATGGAATGCAAATTGATTTTCAACGCCCACCGGAAACGGGACGATTAACACTAAATGGCGGGTCGAGAGCCACGGTGGCGTTTCGAGTCCAAATTTGAAAAATTATGAGACACCCTTGGTATTACTGGGATAGTCGTCTATTAATAATGATACGTATTTACATTAAAAAAAAAAATCGATATGAGTGTAGGGGGTTTTTGAAATCTTTACAGGCTTCTATTAAATTGAATAGTGGTCAACATAGAGCAGTAAGCGATTGCAAATAAATTCTTTCGAACGATACTGAGATATCGAACGTGTACCAAGCTGATAGACACGCAGGATGCCTCTTATAGCGGGTTAGAATAACAAAGTGATCGAGAGAGTCCGTGTGTAATCTCTGATAATCCTCTGATATCTCAGCGTAAGCAGGATGTAGATGCGGATAGATAACGTAATTATTGGAGTAGAAAATCCCTGTTTACAGTGGCCGGCATTTACTCGCACACGAGTCGTATTTTAGTTTCCAAATTGAGCTTATTATTTCGAGAAGCTTGTCAAAATATTTGACGACGTTACACAGCTTTGATCGTCTCATACTACGTAATGAGAAAGTCTTTGTTTGCTCGTAAAATTCCCAAGATGACACACAGTTTAGAAATTAAAATATGACTTGCGCGTGAGTAAATCAAAATGGTCGTCTCTGTATGTTCTTAACTATACTTGATAAACTGAACATCGGTTAATTATGAACGATCTTACCTCGACGCAAGAAAGGGTGGTTTATTTTTTTAAGGCCAAGCAGACCTCGCTCGAGGGTCGGTGTTTAGTCATCGAACGATGGTATCATAGCTTATTGAAATTTGCATAGACGCTCGTTGGCCAATAACTGGGCGAACCACTATAATCCTGGATAAATTCCAACGTGGCGTTTCTGTTGGCCGCACGTGAGCACTCGACGCAAGCCCGAAATATTAAAGTAGGCCGGTAGAAAACGGATAGGATCGTACAAAATTATCCGCTGCTTAGCCGATTCTCCGTTTCACGCTCGTTCGCGTAAAACGTGTTAATAACTTACGACGAGACGGAAAAGAACAGGGTCCGGTGCCCCATACGGTATATACTTTGGCCCGGGATCGTGAAAAATAATGTCTCAACGGGGCGGCGTGGCGGCGGCGACCGCTTCTTACGGGGGTGTATTATTTTGTCACGTCTCGTTGCCAAATGCGCCGTAAACGATACACGAATTCTCGTTTCATGCAGACCACGTACGTTATTCATGATACACTTCAGACGGTTATATATCCGAGATTTCGTGTATCCGGCCCCGAAGCCTGCAAATAATATACTATTCCGTCAGTATAAGCGGGGCACCGCTCCGGTTCTCTCGGAACCGTTGCAACCGTTTCGTCTCGCCGAGTTGGGCGTAACTAAAAAGGAAACGATTCAAAATTATGCGACGAAATTTTCTTTTTCTGAAATAATTTCGTTTATATCGATACAGAGCGTTGTACAGACTTTTGTAATCATCGGAGAATCTATCGTGATTAGAACAGGAATGATATTTCCGTTGAAACGATTCCCTTTCCGATCGTAACAGCCTGTTTCTGGCAATCCCATATTCGCTACCCTTGTGTCTAAAAATATCGGAAGCTATTGATATCGCAATAGGTCGATTAATAGCCTAGTAAAATTAGAATTGCCCAAACGGCCGGGTAAAATAAATGGGGTGCAAAGGACGGCAATTCGAAACTTTGATGCGACCAATCGAATAGGTATTGCTTTCTTGCATCGTAAAAAGGGAACTGTGTTCATCATGACTGATAATCGAAGAAGAAATCGGTATTCAGATTGAGTTGATAGAAGAATTATAGTATATTTATTTGTACCAAAGAAATTAGAATGATAGAAATGTACAATGCAATGGAAATACATTTTAATTTTTTAAGAAGTTGCCTAGTGAAGAGAACATAGAAAACCCCCGTTAAGTCGAAGGTATTAAGTCGGTATCTCGTCGCTGACAACCGTGATCGTTCTGTTTCAGGTGATCGATTTCGGCTCGAGCTGCTACGAGAACCAGCGCGTGTACACCTACATTCAGAGTCGGTTTTACCGCGCGCCAGAGGTGATACTGGGCGCGAAATACGGTATGCCGATCGACATGTGGAGCCTGGGCTGCATCATCGTGGAGCTGGTGACCGGTTTCCCTCTGTTGCCAGGCGATGACGAGGCGGATCAGCTGGCCTGTATAATCGAGCTGCTGGGCATGCCGCCGCTTCGGTTGCTGGAATCGGCGAAACGGTCCAGGCAGTTCATCAGCTCGAAAGGTTATCCGCGGTACTGCAATACCAGAACGTTGCCGAACAACTCGATAATATTAAGCAGCGGTTACTCCAGAAAAGGTAAGCGCCGCGGACCACCGGGTTCCAAGGATCTGAGACGGGTATTGAAGAACTGCGACGACCCGTACTTCCTGGACTTCATAAATCGTTGCCTGGAATGGGACCCGGAAGAGAGGATGACGCCCAGCAAAGCGTTGAAGCACGGCTGGTTGCGTCGCAGGTTACCGATGCCGCCGGAGAAGACCAACGACGCACTGCCGGCGGTACCGGCGGCCGCCGTGCCGCCCGCGTCCTCCACCAGACTGCGTATCTCCGGGTCCGGTAGTAGAAGCTCGAGCAAGTCGAACACCCTGGAGACCAATAACGCCGAGCACGCGAACAAGGTGAAGCAGTTGAATGACATCTTCCACACTCTGAACACCATTTATTCGGTACTATAACGTTATCACGGTGATCAGTCAGGTACGGCGGTTACGACGAATCATCAAGCGGGCGTCAGCAATCATCAGCCGCTGAACTCCGGTGCCGGTGGTGGTGGTGGTGTTGGTGATGGTGGTAGCAGCAGTAGTACTAATGGCGAGCAGCCGCACGCCCATGATGAATTAATAAATACATCGACTGGAGTGATGATCAGGATATTCCCGAGGTACTACTAAGACGATCCAAAAAAAAAAAAAAACGAAAACGCGAGGTCACTCGTTCTCCTTGCCCAGGAGTGTGTATGGTTGCTCCTCGTCGAGGATTGCTCGGAGCGCGTACGAGACAGGGTGGCCTCGTCGTCAACCTCGGATATTACTGTGATCTACGCGATACCGTTACTAAAACGCTGGTGAAAAGGGGACTAGAGGTCGATCGCGAGTACCACGAGTCCGCTGGTAAAACACCTTAGACTTCTTCGGGCCGCGCGTTGCGCTCCGGGTCCCGCACGTTCAGGATTTCAATTTCTCGTTGGCCGTTGCTCGCGAGAGAGAAAAAAAAACGTGCACGCTGTAAAGCTGTTAATCGGCGGACGTTCGCTTTTTCTCGTATGTTTACTTTCGCGGTCGACCGAGATCGGATTCGCGAGACACGCGTCCCATTATCGCGCGAGGCCGACCACGGGGTTATTGTGCCGAGGGAAGCCGAGAACCAAAGATTTGCGCAACGTCGATGAATCGATTTCTCCGGGTGGCGTCCGTAGATGGGTTATTCGGTTGACGGGGGCTGACAGGACGACCGCGATGAAGCCTCATTCGGGACATCTAGACGTTACTGACGCGCGCACACGAGCCTCTCGAACCGAGCAGGAATCTAATAATCAAAGGGCATGTGCCTCGCTGAATAGAGTCATCCGGCCTTTTTAGGTCAGAGGATCTCTCCCCCTTTCGTGACGCTATCGATATCGAGTAGAAGAGAACGTTGATTTTCTGTTCCGACCGAACAAGTACTTGTTATTGATCAAAGGAGCCCAAGTTGTCTTTCGATCCGAGCGAAGTAGACTGAAGCAATAACGCCGGAATGAATATTACTTGTAAAAACGCTCGAACCGTTGGGCGTTTTATAATCGAGACGAACGCCTAACGGTCACCAGCGCGATTGCATGTATTTTTGTCTTTTTTTTTTTAAGTTACGTTTCGAATAAGGATTTTTAGCCGCGTCAGATTAACGACCAGGACTCGACGGGTCCTTCGAGGATCGCGATACTCTGCAGTAGATACTATGTAGACCGTACAGGAATTAAAATCGATCCTTGTCAGCTTAAGAAGTATACGCTATGCGTATTAGTAATTTATACGAGTCAGATTGAACGTCTATGTTTAGAATCGGCGAATAAGACACGGTTAGATACTTAACCTTTGAATTTTGTCTTTCTTGTTCTGGGCATAATTAGTTTAATTGTGTTTCCTTTTAAACGTCTTTTGATTCGTCCTTTTCTTTTTTGTTTAATGTTATCGTGTAGTTATAAGTTTCGATGATTTTCTCGCGTGTATATACTCAAGGACTATCCTGCATTTTACCACTGCCTTTTTTTTTTTTTGTAATTTTATTACTTTTATTGTTTATACGCGATTTCACTGCCTGGACGGCATTTATGATTCGATTCGCGATGCAGGTCAAGGCAATTGTAACAAAGTGCCGACGAGAATGCCCCTGGATGCAGTTCAGGTTCAGATTCAGCGATCAGAATTTTTGAAAATTATTCCACTATTGGTCGACGATTTCGTACGACGCGAACGACTAATAGCATTACTATGAAAACGCAATTTACGGGCGAAAAGACTGATTTCTCTCGCATCGCGGACATCGCTCAGGAGCATTCTTTATAGCTTCGTGCAATAAAATGTATACCTTGAAGTATTCCCGTTGCGTTCGAAGCTTCTTACGGTTGTAAACAAATTGTAGTTTATCAAGACTCGGAGAATTTGTAATTTATGAAATTATATAGAAGCTAGTCGCAAATGCCTATTCTCTATAAATTAATAGTATTATTCTACAGGCATTAAATTCTTTGTCAGAGTTTTAAATATTATTCAAAAATATTTATCGAATTCAAATTCAAACATTAAACTATATTTTAAAATTGGAACTCGGACCGTTTGAATATTCGAATGTTTAAGTATTCGAATATCATTCGAATACTTGAGCAGTCGAGTATCATTGTTCGGATGTTGAGTATTCTAATATCGTTATTTTATTAAAGAAAAGGGTACGCTGTACCATCAGCAAACACAAAATGGACGATATCGAGCATTTTTTACCAATTACCTACTAAAACAACTAGCCCAATGCGACGAGTGAGTCTTGCACTTTGAAACTATACAATTATTTTATCACACATACAATTTTTCTGAACCTACGTAAAATTATCAATTAAAATCCAAAAAGAATGGGATTTAAAAAAAAAAATTGGAAATTATTTCCACCATCGAGGGTAGTTTGTCACTGTTTGGCGCGTTCAAACTCAACGGGACATACTCTAGCGTATAATTTTAACTCGTTCCGAACAAAGAGGGATCGCATCAAAAGGATACCCCCGGTATTCAGAAAACGGAAAGTCGGATTAAACGACTGGACGTAACTTTCGCTCAGCATTTCGCGTTCCCGGATGGTCGTTGCGACGCATTCGACGCCGATAACACGATCGAATCGTTTCCCGAACGACGTCGACCCGAAATTCGCGTGCCACGCGTCCCGGCCGGTCGTCGTTTCGAACGCGGAGGAACTCAGTTCGCGGTTCGACGCCGTCGCGGTTGCACGACTCGTTTTTCGCGTCAGCAGCATCGACAGAGGGACACCGGAACCGAACGTCTCGCGACCGGTAAACAATGAACGCGAGCACATCGACGTGCGCGAATCTCCGGTTGTGTCCTCGCGTTGGCGACCCCGGCACAAGCGAATTATACGCTAATTTTAATTAGACAGAACGAACGAGAGGCGCGTAAAAGGAACATTACGGGCTGTTGACGGAAGGTGGTAAGAACGAGACGCGGACGAACAACGATCAAAGAGAGCGACGGTAAGAAAACGACGGTAAGAGAGCGCGATCTCGGGGCGGTAAAAAAAAAAGAGAGAGAGAACGGCGACGAAACCAGCAAATGACAATGAGAAGGGACGATCCACGAAAGAAGTCGAGGGAAACTTGAAAGCATATAAAAGTAAATAAATAAATAAAAAAAAAAAAAAAAAAAAAAAAAAATGAATGGGAGGAAGCGACGAGAACCGGGAGTTTATTAAAAATCGTGATACTGAACAGGATATCTTGTGATATGGAATTTAGGCGTATTTGGAGTTCACATCGATGAACGTAGATAAATATATAAATATAAATATATATATAAATATAAATAAATATGAAGTGCGTATATATTATATTACGTTGTAACGCTAACTAAAAAAGGAAAAAAAAAAAAAACGCCACGAATTATAAGAGCACGTGCGTAGTGAGATGTAGCTAATGTGCGTTACAAGGAGCGAGAAAGAACAACGGTTTCGTGAAACGTTGCACGATTGTATAATGGTTGTCTTTTCACGATTCCCTGTCTCATCGATTCTTATTTCGTTTTCGGCGATTGCAGAATATTCTCGTTCGAATCCTTCGTTTCGTAGACTATACATCGCGATCGCGCTACCGCTTTCCGATTCATTTCTGCGAGAGAATGAACGTCGTTTCGATTTACGAAGAAAAAACAGTATAAATAAAAAAAAAGAAGAGACGTTTGTTTACCGCGCGTCGCGCGCAGTCTCGCCAGCTGGCCGAGAGATGACGAAAGAAAACAAGCCGATCGATCTTCGGTGGATGTCGCCGCGGATTTTTCGTTCGGCTGGGACACTTTTTAGCGACATTCCGCGCCACGATCCGAAAGATCGATCGTTAAATACCACTGCCAATATATAATACCTTTCCTAGAAAGTTCGGCTCTCGTTTTCTCGCAAGGTACAAGGCGACGTCGCATTGTATTATTTACGAACCTAGTCCCCCCCACACGAACACACAGAAACACACCCTTCACTCGGCGAAATTTCAATAACCCGCGTTGCGCTCGCATGAAAAAATATTATACGTACGCGTCGAATTGTGCTTATCCCACGTGTGTCGTGGCGCTCCTTCCTGTTTTTGTTTCCCTCACTCACGCAAAGTATACACACACACACACACGCACACAACACACGTATGCACGCAACGTTTGAACGTGGCTCACGCTATTACCCGTTTTATTATTAACAGATACCCCCCTCCCCGCTCGAAGTTTACTTTCGTTCGCTTAATTTATCGATCACTCACTCTGCTTTACTGTGATTAACGTCGTAACAGGTTCGTTGCTTGTTCGTGCAACTTCGGCTCAAAAACTATCGTGTGCGTAGAACACGATACGTACGATGTGTGTAACACGTCTTTTCGTAGTGCTCTTTATCCGATCACGCGCCTCGTCCCGATGCCGATACGGTTTAAGCGATAGGCTTTTCAAGCTTACGACGTACGGGGCGAAATATAAGCGCGGAGGGTATCAAGATCCGAAGCTTTAACTCGAGGCAAACGGGGGTGCGTTCCGATTGTCTGGAAGACGGTGCTCGTGGATTCCTTTTTCTCGCAGAGAACGAAAATGAAAAGGGAAAATATGCGTTCGTTTATGGGGTTCCTTCGACGCGTTTCGTTCGCGCAACGACGATAGCGACCCTCTGCAGTCGATGGCCACCCTTACGACAAAGATGGGCGAACTTTCTATCCAGATAAAAGATTCGAATAACGAACGATAGGTAAACAACGTTCGATGCGTTGTTTTGCTTGATAAAAGTTAAAATTTTAATTGTGTTAGAACGCCACAGAGAATATTGCACATTTTAAAACGTTGATTTATTAATTTGCTAAATTTATCGAACGATAACCGCGGCAAAATTTAATTTAAAGCATGTCGATGTATGGCCTTCCGCTATCATTTTAAAACTAGCCGTATTCCTTTATGATGCATGCCAGTTCTTTGGATACAACAAACTATACACTACCATGTTTGACGACTTCATAATTCTCAGATCAATTTAATTAAAAAATTTACTCCGTTTGCTATAGCACGGACATTTATATTTATATCCGTTCATGCTCGCAGTATCGCTTTAAACGCGCGCCAGATTCCTTCAGTTTACATTATTATTGCAATATCATTATTAAAGTTTACACTCGTAAAACAGACTGACGTGCATTAAAACAAAAAAAATCAATGTTCACTGCATATAGATGTTGGTGCAAGGGAGTTTGAAAGAGAAATACCGCGTACACTTTATCGACAATAACATAGCATTTTTACTCTTTATATTCAACCATTGTATGACTTAGAGAACAATTATCATGCAATGAAACAATATAACCGAAATGAAATAGCTTGATGTATAACAAACGGAGCGTAGGAGAAAATATACATATTTTAGATCGGGGAAACATTATATTGCACGCTTGCAAGAAAAGTAACATAACTGAAGTGTCCAGTGTGCGAGTGATTAAAAAGTATTACAGATTTTTACTATCTTGATAGCTTAGTGTTTTAATCCTTTGGATCAGACGATGCATACGTTTTATTTTAATTTAGTGCACGCCAAAAATAACTAAAACATGTCCTAGATACCTCACTTTTCGAGTTATGGGATGACTAAAGAAAATATTCGAAATGTTCACCACGTGCCTCAACATCGATCAGTCTCAAATCCTTTTTATATCTTTACTCTATCTTGAACATTATTCGCTTATTTTTCACCATGGATTTTAAATCCATGTGCATTGGTACAGATTTTACCGATAGTAAAACATTTCCTAGTCGTGTCACTTTTCTCACGCGGGTGCAATATTTTCTAGATAGACGAATTTTAACCCTTTCGCTGCAACGCGTTTCAATCAAAAAGCGACCCCTTTCGATCGAGAAGCGGGGGGAACACTCGCTTGCGATTTGCTGAGACTGAGTACCCGAAGGAGGGCCTGATGCCCCGATTCGTTAGATTAAGCCACGTCTATAAAACATGCACACAACCTAAGTCTAGATCGTAAATACTTTAAAGGCGCAATATTCTTAAGCTAAGAGGCTATTGTTCGATTACGTATACATACTGTATATAAGTCGTCCGTGGCGAAAGGATTAAAACGAAAACACATTTTCTTCGCGTCGTTGCGCGTAACGATCCGTCGTTGGTGTTTTACAAGATTTTACTCTTTCCATTCAGACGAATAAGACCGTAGTTTTTGCAACCGAGAAGAGAAAAAAAAAACAAAGACGTACGAACTTTAAGAGTATAGATCGGTTTTCCAAAGTAAGGTACACCCCTATTTCTTATACTTAAAGGGGGGAGGGGGGAGTTTTTATGTCGAAACTGTAGATGTTATGTGTTACGTTAGGTCTCTGTCTAGTAAATCGTACGGTGCCCATTGACCGCGGAGGTTTAAACGTTTCGGTTGCACGTTTTCCACCCTTAAAGGACATTGAAACGCGTCTCACCCTTGCGATCGAGACCGGTTCGATACCGACGAACGTATTTATAGGCGTGCTCGAGCCGCTCGGACGTTGAATTTTATAAAAGGACCACGTCGACATCAAAGCATCCTATTAAAAATAAACGATATCGTCGCTGATTTCCAGCGACACGGCTGGCGGAAATGCATATTAAGGCTTCGCCGATACACGACCGCGGCCGTGTGTATTCCCCGTCGTCGTCGGGCACGGCGCGAAATCTAGGCCGCTCGGTTGTTTCAGCGATGATGAAAACCGTTCGATTGATCGGGAGACAGCTTCGTAACTTTTACGCGTTAGCCACGGATGGCTGGTCGACGGTTTATTGCGTCCGAATGGCTCGTGCGGGGCGTACGACAGCGGCGAAAGCCGAACGAAGCGGCTGGTTGCGTAGGTGAACGACGTACCCAGAACCTGCTTCGGTGATTTGCAACGAAAGGGAGCGGATAAGGGGGTAGAAAGCACGATCCGCGTGGCTGTTGCTCGCTCACGACGATTTTCGTATACTTCGGAAACGTGCACCAAATCGCGGCCATATTGGGGAACCGGAGTCGATGATCAGAATTTTCTCGGAAGTTTCATTTACTTCGAAAGAATTGTTAAAGCGCTGTGCGTCGTAGCATAAATCGTTGCGTTTATGGCATCTGGAAGAAACGTATCGACTGCATGAGTAACACCCATGGCTACCCTTTGTTCGACGCGCGCGACGCGATGCATGCGTAATACGCGCATTATGGTACCGCCTCTCCCTCCGATGTACGATAATATATATTATACAATGTATAACACGCGTGGTGGCATGTATTGCATCACGGTATATTTTAATATGCATGTCGTTCGAAACGATCGCGATCGACGCATCGATCCGACGAATTTCGATCACTCAAAGGCAATCGGTAGAAGCGAATGGCTGGTTTTAGCTTCGTCGCATGAATTTTATGTTTCGAGAAAGAAATTGTTATTTATGTGCTCCGTGGATTAGACGACCGAGTTTGCACAGCTGTTGCATGTCTCCGTGAGAATCCTGTACGATATTACTTTTGCGGCAATTATGTTTTCAATCACCCGAGTTTGTCGACGAGGGGGGAGGGGACGCGAACGAAAATTTTGAACGTAGAGGAACGTGTATAACTCAAGCATCCCTTTGTATCGATACATTAATCATCGAAGCTTAACAACTTGTAAGAGTATATTTTACTTGTACCGTTTTTTTAAAACCGTCGTCGCGACGGTCAGAAATTGTGTTTTTATAGGCGCCTCCCGATATGTTTGTGGCAAACTATCTTAACGTGTAATTCCGCAGCGAACGAGAACTGTAAAAACGCTAATGGGGGAGGGCGGAGAGGTGGAGAGGGAGGACTGACGAGAGACTGTACCGTTTCAATATATATTTCTGTATATTTGTAACTCGTAAACGTTTGTACGGTAATTAAGGAGCTCGTAATTAATCTCTAAGGACGCAGATTTATTGGACAGATCGGCGTGTGGCGCGGTTGCCTCAGGTTCGTTGAACGGCGGCCGCCTCGTTCCGTGACCTTCCCTCTTTCCGATCTCGCCAATTCCGACTGAATCGATCCTCCTCTCTGTCGCTCTCTCTGTCTCTCTCATTCGCCTCGTAATTCTAAAAGTCAAACACGAAGGAATCTCCGGGGGCCCGTCTTTGCCCAGTTTCCAACCGCGTATCCGTCAACTTTCGATCGTTTCAGAGCCACGAAGCCACCCGACGACCTTCGTCGGCTTCGAATCTGCACGGAACACGCCCGTGCACCGTGGCCCGAGATCGACGACAGAGACGGAAGTTGACAATGATTAGTATCGTTAAGCGAATAGCGGTAATCGATTTAAGTCATAATAGATAAGAGACGAGAGTGGATAGCTAACGGTAACGATTCGCAGCTAATGAAGAGAAAACGAGTTAAAAGGTGCAACGAGAAACGGGAAAGAGTTCGGGAACGCAAGGAAACGAGCGAAAACAAAAGTCCGGGGGGGAAGGGCCGCGGTATAGTCTGCCGAGTTTCCCGAGTCCGTGTTCTTTCTTCCTTTTTTTTTTTTTTCGTTCCTTTTAGTTTCGGTAGTTCCGGCGACGAGACACGACGCGTCTCTGTGCATGTTTCTTTCTTTCGTGTCTCCGATTGATCGCGGAACGTGGCGTATCGCAACTTTTATTTCGCCGACGTTCAACGAAGCGCGCGTTTTTCTCGTTGCGCGTCGAATTTATTTACGTTAAGAACGTGCAGGACATCACGGACGAATTAATCCACCGAAAAAACTTTTCCTCGCCGTGCAAACAAACTGTCTTCTTTTTTTTTTTCAACCATCGGAACGCGAACTATGGAGAGGCTACCGGGGGGCGTCAACATTTTTCGCATTTCGAGCCGATATCGACCGGAAGCTCGTGTGTTGGCGACACGGGATTCACGTGTACGCGTGAAATTAAAGTACGGGCGTCGCAAACACGTGATATTTAAAGTGCAGCGTATTTCAACGCGCGCTTTCGTTTTCCTGCGTCGACCGTCTCTCATTTTCGAAGATAACAAAACTGCAGCCGTCTTCTAATATTTCGTACCGGTTTTAGTTTTTATATTCTCGATGCACGGTGGACAGGGCTGGAACTACTCGAATTTTTCTGTATTTCATAATTCGAATGTTCGAACACGAGTAACACAGTAGAACATCGATCATTGGAAATTTAGTTAATTTCTTCGACTAAAATATGCATTTTTAACGAAGACTGACACGAGTAATGTAGACGTTAATTGTCTCCAAATGGAGCCAAGTCTCGCAATCCTTTCAGCGCATATATTAGCACACTGTATATTTTCTTTTGTGTCCACGGAATTTTAGTGCAATTTATAATGCATTTGTAGATAAGGCTTTTATTAAAATATGATTTATCTACTTAAAAATAGATCTATATCTATTTTTTTTTTTTAAGAAAACTGTGATTAACTTTTGTGCATTTGCATCAAACAATTGAAAATTATTTCTGTAAATACACCGTCGAACGATTTGAAACTGATTGAAATTTGTTAATAATCGACGTTCCAGTGTATTGGAATAGTAAAATAATTCCCGGAGCGATCGTGTTTCTTGTTTCTCCGGACTCTCGCGTATTCGTATATTAAATTAATCGAGTAGTCGAAGCTCTAGTTCGATATTGATCGTCCGTACGAGCGAGGTTTCCGGTATCGAAACGAAGAAGGAAAAGTGCGAGGGAACGATTCGAGAAATGCACTCACACACACACACGTACACACGCCCTGCCCGTTAAAATTTCCCCAATTGCTCGGACAATGACGTTTGTACGACGAAACCAAAATACTGTAAAAAGTTATGTATACGCCCACGCCCCACGCATACCATCGTACTCGTACGCGTTCACACGGACACCGTAACCCCGATTTTACGATACTCGTTTTCTGCACGCACTTCTTGTACCCGCGGACCGTTTTCAGGAAGTGGTATCCGTTTCGTGCCACGAATAATGCGTTTCCTTCTATTTGTATTATCGAGTTCGCTGTAGTCGACTTACTCGCTTTAAGGCCTTTTCTATATTTTGTAATTGCAGATCTAGCGGAGCTGTGTTTCGTTCGATCGCGCCGCTGCAACAGCGAAAGAATGAAAGCGAGAGAGAGAGAGAGAGAGAGAGAGAGAGAGAGAGAGAGAGAGAGAGAGAGAGAGAGAGAGAGAGAGAGAGAGAGAAAGAGATAATCACTGTCTTTCATGCGTTTCCTTCGCGCGCATAAATTGTATTATAATTCTTCGATTCGTGCATTTTCGTCATCCGTTGCATCTAATTTTAATCGATCGACTTTTAGCGATATTTACATAACACACATATACACCCCATGAGCGTCTGTATTCGATTGTGTACCTCGACTTGTATATATATACATATATAAAGGAAGAAAAAAAAAAAATTTGACCCCGAGGGGGGGAGGGGGGAACCGTTTTACAAAGCGAAGCGACTGAGTTTAGTACTTTTCGGTGCCCCTTGACACGATTCGCGAGCGATTTTTTGGTATCGGTTGCAGCGGCATATAAGCTACCCTTTACAGTCCTTCTTGTTTTTTTTTTTTCTTTTTTTATATCGTCGTCGTTGTGCATACGCGCATGTACGTTACTCTCCTCCTTGGTTATAATTTACGCGCTAAGTTTCCTAGGATTAACGCGATTTTTCTTAAGCGATAATGCAAAGTTTGATCTCTTTACTCGTACATACATCACTATAAATATACGAAATACCTAATTATAATTGTATATGCGGAGAGTCGTGTGCTCGTTGCGTCCAGCATTTCTTTAATTATTGTTCTGTTTTTCTTTTTCTCAATTGTTTCCCCTTTCTTCGTGCTCGCGAGTTCCACGAGGACGAACGAGAAGGGCGAAGATACGGCGCGTCCTCCACGAGGGGACACCGCAACTCATACATGTATAAATACGCATAAAGTACATACGAATGATACGATTCGAGCGTTTATCCGACGTGTAAAGGTAATACACCATACTCGAGACACGCATACACACACGTACACACACTCAAACCGTTGTCATCCTTCCAAGAAAAAACGAAAAACGCGTAAAAAGCAACAAAAAAAAAAATGAATACATCCCTTCGAAACCTCCGAACACAAAACCGTAATTGTAACGCGTTCTCGCCCACGAGTCACGAAGGCGCGAATACTGATTTTTTAAAGAACTGCTCTGACTTGATTAAGAAACGAAATAAACGCTGCTTAAGACAGTTAAGACGTTGTTTTCAATTCCCGTTTATTTTTCTCGCTTTGATTTCCGTTTTGTTCCAGACGCATGCGAAATCGCACGAGGAGAAGCACCGTTGGCCTGGTTGCGTTGGCCTTAAATTTATTGCCAGGCCCGCTGTTCCGTCGTAAGGAAATTGACGGACACGAATTTTACGAAGTGCCCCCCTCCCCTGGTGCTCCTGAATGAACAAAAATAGACAAAGTAGCAAGAAACGAGACGCTGCGTTGAAGGTTCCGTGACATCCGTGGGGGAGGAGATAAACGCGGAGTCCGGGACTCCTGCCAAAAACGTTAAATCTTGGAAGTATGTCATTGACGGAAATTTCCGTCTGGAAATCGGTACGATCGCGGGATCACGGAACTTCGAAGGCTAACGTCGCCACAGCGGTCGGAATTGAAGAATTCAGTGACAGTTTGGTAAAAAATCAATTTTGTCATATCAATATCAACGTTTATTGCTTTCTGAATATCCATGGATCTCGGAAATTAAAAAATCATTAAAATATAATACAAATTCTAAGTTATATAAACACTTAAAGTTGGACATTCCAAAGCATTTTTCATTCGTAAAACACTTTTTTCTCTTCGAGATCTCCCGAAGACCCCGTTTGATATTTTGCTTCCATTATTTTGGTGTAATAAAGCACATTCTTTCAAGATAAGAAATCATGACTTCAATTTATAATTTCTGTACATAATATATTTGAAAAGTAATGTTGCATGGAATAAAGAAAATTTTCTTTAAATATTGTTGTTTTTATTGTTATTGTAATTTTGTTTAATCTGGTTCAAAAGTTACACAAAATTGTCACTGAATGTTTCAATTACGACCACTGTGGCATCGTGCTCTTTATTCTAGTTCGTTTGAGCATACATCGTCCTCGTCGGTTAGAGACACGAGCAGAACGATTGACTACCGACGATACAGTGAACCGAACTTCTTTGCTTTAGGATTATGCGTTCCAACGTCCTACCGCAGCCCCAATACGATCCATAAATCAACGGAAGAGCCGATGATTTCTCGTCGTTCGTCGATCTAATCCCGTATCCTTCCGGTTCCTTTCCGATCCGGTACAGGACAGATAGCTTTCTATCGTCCCCTTTCGAGCGCAAACAACTGGATAATAATTATCATGACCGACGAGAGTGAATACTATCTAACGCCAACACGGACCATCGATCTGCTAACAGGTATGTTTGTCGTCCTATTAATTTATCGATTTCGGGTCAACGATTTTAATTGTGCTCGCACGGGCTCGTCGAAAACGGAACAACACATTTCTATCGTTAAAGACCAGAAAAGTTGTACTCGATCGTTTTCCAAATAACCGATATTAAGTTTCTTTCAATCTTGCATTTTTTCCAGAACATTGCAACCCTTATCAATGTCAGTGTTACGGGTTTTGTATCGAATCGATCTAATTTTATTCGCGAAAATTTCTTTTTAAAGTAACGTGTAACGTTCAGCCTAGGTTGAAGGATTCGTTCCTCGTTTAAGAAAATCAACAATAAATCCTGTTACGGGTAAAAATAGAATGATCCCGCTCGAGTTTGAAATCTTGATCGCGTCGGGAAGACAATCTTTACACCTCGCTGGAAGTACGAAAGCATTCAACTCGTGTCCCGGGGCACTTCAGCGTATCTTGAAGACCAGGAAGCTGACTCGGTGCACCTTGTGTGTATCTAGTTACCCAGATACGTTCAGGTACCTGGCTCGACCAAGTGTCCCGTTTCCAGCGTACCACCCCGTGCGCGTTTCTCGCACAATTCATACGACCACCCGATACCGTATCGAAAGCGACGATAGCAACCTCCTACCGATAGTTGATTCATCATCTCGACCTTCGTCGTCGACGAACGGTCGCGTTGTAATTCAATGACGACGCTATCAGATTGCGAACGGTTCGATTCTTCTGGCGGGATTCGAAGGTTAATTAATCATGGTAACGGGGCGTACTGTTACTCCGCGCGGCGGGTTCTATATACAGTTTCTGGTAAACGAGTCGTTAATCATTGACACTCGACATGGGGGTCGACATCGATTTTCGTGCGTGGGTCTAAGTGTGTCACACTTATCTCGCGTATTTTCATCCCTGGTCGGGCACGTTTCAATTTAAAGTTGGAGAACGGAACAAAAGCCATCGTTCTTCCCAACGAGATGAGAGGGGCGGTGGGTGGACGGATAGGTCGGGGGGTGGTGGTGCCGGAATCTGGACTAGATCGGACTGCAATTATCTGACATTGAATGCTTTTCCGGGTCGCATTTATTTTTAATTCGCCGATGTACGGTTTACGAGGGTGACGTCAAGCAGACTAGGCGTGGATGATTCGCTCCCATATACTTCGGCAAATCGCCAGTACACCGGTGATCGATTGATCACCTTCTCCCTCTCTTACACGCTCCCTTTCTCTCTCTCTCTCTCTATCTGGCTCCCATCGTACCTACGTAAATAATATTTTTCCTTCTATCGATGGCGCGGCTTATACATTTCTGCCACAAACCCCCCTTGGCCTGTTCCACGATTCGTTCGATCAAGCATTGGGTTCTAACGTACGAATATCAGGTTCTGCAAAGAGCTCTGTCAATTTTTCTTTCGTGCCACGCGTCTCAAAATTCTACATTTCCTATTACTGTTTATTTAAACAAAGTTGACTTTCACGCACCCCCCACGCATCCATTTTGGAAAAATTCCCTTCTCAAATTTTTCTCGTATTTAAATAAAATTGAATAGTACAGATTTGAAAAATTACTTGTAATTGAGTCATATGTAAAGGAGTTGAAAACAAAGGATGGTGCCCCGTTACGAAAAATGTCTAAATAATAATAAAGACACGTAGAATGTAATAGACAAAAAATATTTTGAAAATATGCTTCCCACAGAAATGGAAGTTACGTTAACGCGGATAGCTTTTTATCTTTAAGAGTTTCACAAAAGACAGCGCGTACGAACAATGATCCCGTGAACTGTTTCGATGTTCGTCGAAGGATAAACCGGTCTTTAAGAGGCGAACGAAGCGATCGAGCCTGTGTCACTGTTCCTGTCTCGATACCTACCTCTTATTTTCGTCCAAATTCAATGGCAAATGGTACAAATCCCGTACCCCGATTGCTAATGGTGCTCGAGTAGCACGTTGTCTTTTTACAACCCCTTCAGAGATCGCGTACTAAACGGATGGTGTTTTCCCTTCGCGAGACTCTCTTCGTCGGATTGAAGGGATCGTTTGCATACCAAATCGGTGGCCAAGATCTATGCAAATGAATGACAAATTTCTTTTGCCTCTCGAGAGACGTTAGAGTATCCACAAACTGGTGGAGTCATTGGCCAATTGGGTGAAGCCCCCGTTGGATTCATATAAATGCATTTCGAACACGTTTCTTTTAATCGTCGAACAATACTAGAAACGATGTCGAAGTGATACAGCAAGTTCTAAAGTTTCGTCGGTTATGCCCTAACTTATTTCCTTATTTAATGTGTACATATGTGCAATTAGGTATTAAATAGAGTTTCTTTGACTTCAATTGTTATTTTCATAATGAATGGCACGCGAATCTGATTATGGAACAAGTGTATTAGAGAAAGAAAGAAAAATCAATCCTAGAAGGAATGGCGAGCAGTGGCGAATCTAGAAGAGCCTAAAGGGGGAGACAAACAAAAAATCACGTAAAACATTTGATATTTCGAAGATTCAAGAATCCCATCCCTATGAAACCACTTGAAACGATTAAAATTCAAATAATAGATTTTTTAGACAATGAAAGGAGGGGCTGGAACCTCTATAGCCCCCCCCCCCCCTTGTATCCGTCACTGATGGTGAGTCATTGAATCAAATGTTTCAGTCACCCTAAGGCTAAGAAGAAATTACTCGACACTGTCCACATTTTCTTTACGTATTGTACCATATTCTTTTCAATGCGGGACTGATCTTTTTTCCTCCTTACAATACATTGTATTTATACAATTTGTCGGAACGAATTCACCGCGTAAGTTGAGAACTTACTTTACGTTGAGATTTGTAACAAATCGATAAAACGTCCGTTGCGTTGTATAAATCCATTTTCTTTTTTTTAAATCGATTCTATTCGGTTTAAAATGAATAAGAGATGTACATTAAACAATTTGTGGCGTTTACGAACGTTTGAAATTAGTAGTGCAATCGACCACCGAACGGCGCGCGAATCGACGTTTGTTATTCTGTGTCGCCACTTGGTATCCTATGTTGAAACGAGGAGAGATTTTACTTGTGGTCTTAAGAGATCTACATAGAAATACTAAACAGTGCTTTGATGGAATTAAAAATTATTTATTTCATGTAGAAAAATCAATAAATTATACATGAACTATTGGAGTAGTTTCTTTTTCCGTGAACAACTCTTTCGATTAAATTCCCGTATATTCTCGCATGTAAACTTAAGAAACTGTCGTAATGCCATCGTTGCTGAAATAAAGAGTGCACGTCTAGATACGTTTACTCCATGACTAACGTACATTTGAATTCAAGTTGCCAGTTGAAATTTGTATGTATCGTAAGGTATGTTTTTCTTATTTTCTTCTCATATTAATAATTAATCGAAAGAGAGTATGGATGGAAAGTGATTCGTTGACAATACGAGTAATTGCAACATATTGATTATTGTTTTTACAATTCACTTTATAACCACCTGTTGAATTCAAATTGCAAATATGAATACGAAGAAAAATAATAGTCGTGCACATACGTAGTACGTATTAGAAATAATGAAAATATATAAAATGATCAGTTTTTTTTGTGTACCTATATTTTATTCGCTCGCATTCGATGGAAATGCGATATTAAAAGAACTAGGGGAAAAGCAATATCAAACAATAAAAGGTAAGGTACACGCATTATTCGTTTCTGCATATAAAAGCATTTATAAAATACAATTTTCACAGCAAAATCATCTTTGTCACAAGACGGAACATGTTGGCACAATGTTCTTAAAATAATGACAATTGATTGTAATAACTTAAATGATGAAGAACATTCTCTTCTAGCTCTTAAATTGACACACTGTTTTTTAAAAGATTCTGGACACATAACTTACAATTGTCATCTTAGTACATCCGGAAATGAACGGCGGTAAATTTTATAAACTTCGAAAGTACTTTTTAATTTTATAAAGTTCCATTACAACATATCAATTGCTTTTCCAGCAATTGCATTAATAATATGCCAGATAGAGCATTTAATGTATATAACGAATTTTATATACATACTACACATATGTGTTTTTATTTAAATTATGAAGCTTGGCAAATTGAAACTGATAACACTATAAAGCAGTAAGTTCATGCTTTGTATAATTAATTACTGTACATTTTAAAATAATGTACACAAATAATATTCCCATGCCATAGGTTGTATCAAGTTTCTGCACGAATGAAGCAACAATTATTAGAAGCTTCAGAAATGCAGGGAACTATGCTTAAAACTCAAAAAGAAAGTTTAAAAATGCAAAATGAACTATTAGATAATGGTAAAGAGCTTGGTAGTGTATTAAAGTCTTCGTCTGCAAGTGTTAATAATATGGTGAAGGATTTTAAGTAAGCTTATAATACCTATATAAATAAAGTCCAAGATTTTTAGTTACTCATTGTGAGACTTTATGTTGTCACCTATTGTAGAGAATCAGCAAAAGATCAAAGGGAATTATTGTTTGAAATCTTTTCGTACTTACGTACATTTCAAAACTGGATTCTTGGAGAAATCTCCTGGTTTCAATCTATCATGTATTATACAGGTAGTTGCATATTATGCGCATTATTTAGTTCTTCTAAGAGAACTGTGGATGCTAGAATCATGCTCTTTACAATTTTAAGCATAAATGTTATAGTGGAACGAATGTTAGTTCAGTATTATAATAATACATCACATTCTGATAGCAATAAGGTACTATAAAATTGATTTTATGAAAGCAATGTTAGATTGCATGAATTTAATTACTTAAAGTATAATTAAAAAAAAAATTATTTTTAATTCAGGAAAATTTGGTAAACGCAACATGGATGTACAGAAAATTGGCTCTAACTATGTGTGCTATTTCATTGTTTTGTACATACTACTATTACAAAGATGAACAAGTGGAAAATCATAAAGTATTAAGACGTATTGAACATCAACTGAATACTATACAGGAAATTACATCTAATAATAATACTAATTGTTCAATTCGTATGTACGTTTTTTCTAATCGATTTATATTATAAGCAAACAACTTATAACTATTTTCATTTGTCTGTAACAGGTTCTTCTGCCCGGTTAGCTTTGAAACATATACAGTCACAAACAAATGAAAAAAATCAAAAAAGATAATATTTAAAATGAATTTTTTATAGTAAATTATATTTAACCCCCGCGGCTGTAGGGTTAATATATTTCAACACTATATCAGTTTCTATGTATTAGAAATAGTAAAAGTGAAATTCTATATATGGTAATGATTACAAATGATTGTAAATATTTTTGCTACAATAAATTATTTTATTTTAATATGTTTATAATGTATTCTTTCATAGAACTAAATAGTTGGATATTGACGTAAAAGTTTATTAACTTGTAAATTAGTTAAATTTTGGGCGCCTGGTGTAATATCTCCTTGTCTTTCGAGCTTCCGTTGCTTTCTAATCTTGTGCTCTGATTCCATACACGTTTGGAACTTCTCTATTAGGTGACTGCACAAACTATTTTCAAAGTTACTGTCTTTTAAACAAGTAAAAAGTAATGACATTTCGTATAAACAGTGGCTCTCTAAAATAAATAAAAATGTTATTTAACTGTAAAGAACATTCAGATATATTGTACATGTTGAAATTTACCGTTACTTCCTTGCTTCCTTACATTACCACATCGAGGTTGTAATTCAAGGGGGTGTCTTTGTTTAAATGGTATTTTCCTCGGATCTTGAGCTACCCTCGCATGAAATTTAGCTAAATCAACAAAGTTCAACCTCATTTTCTACGAAGATAGAACATGTATTTATTGTAAATTTAAGGTTATGAAACTTAAAATTAATATTTCAAAGCAATTTGAGCAATAATTGTTAATACAACTTCATACTTTATTAGAAAATGTTTATCGAGTTATCTACGAAATATATATATATATATTTTATTTACTTAACAGTACATATACCTTTGATAATATTTGTTTCAAAGAAAATGTACTCCGTAATAGATGGCGTAAGTATTGCTAAAATTATGTGGAGTAGATTCGATAAATTAAATGCCTTTTTAAGTACAGTTCAAATTTTATTACGTATTCAGTTTCGGATTTATACATGCATTAACGAATATACAATATGTATAAAATACTATTCATACTGTACAGAAATGTTAATCATTATTTCAGTGTAGTATTGCAGTTGTTGTACTCTTTATTTAAAAGTATCTACACATACAAATTACCTACACATAATTTTCAAAACTTGTATGATTAGAAATTTCAATAATTTAGACGAATTGACAAATGAGTATATCTATGTATGCAATAGGAAAATATACATTGCATTCGAAAAATGAGTGAAAGCATGAGTAATAAGAGGTCGGTGGATCGAAATAGTGGGGACGAGGAACTCGAAGGAACAGGGGCTTCATGAGCAGGATTTCAAAATGCTAGCTAGTAGATCAGTGTTGTGCGTATGTCGTCACGTTGGTTATTTATGCTTAACCTCAACTTTGCGGAAGAAAGTATTACGCAATATTAACACTTCGATAGTACACAGCATACTTCCTGAAGCATCCTACGGATCATTTGGCAAGATACATCTCTTGTACAAAGATTATCTATAACGTTACTAACTGAATACTTTATCTTCCACATCCTTGTACATACATATATCTACGATGGAGAGAGTTAGGAGTAAGTTCAATATTATTTAATTTTTTATTGTAGTTGCAACTTTATACGTTATGTACTTTCTAACAAGGTTTTAATTACAATAATTCATATTATAAATGATGAATCGTACTTGTGGCATTGCATGTTATTAACACTGGAAGTACCGACAATTATGGTGTATTCATTTACACCAAAGGAATTAATACGATAGAAAATTTGATGTAATGGAAATAAATGTTTATCCGTTCTCTTTATGGAAAATTTGCGATAAATTTTCAAAATTCCAGCCGAGTAAATTTTATTACGAATGAGTCACTTTAGCCACTTCGTTAGTTCCAGTGTTAAAATCTAAATTACAAGCATGAACTTGAACAAAGTATTGCATGTTTGTTGCGTGCAATTGTTTCCTACTCGAAGCTACCAAACGTAGCCTTGCATGCACGTATGAACTTCTAAAATGCCGATACTCTAGGGACAAAAAATTTTTTTACCGAATATAATCATAATCAGTCCTCTGTATACCGTATTTGTACGATAAAATCGTACGATGAACTTTTCTTTGATTAGATAAAAAATAAGAGATAACACTAACGATCGTAATGACCTATTTATCTCGTAGTACTTTAATAGCAAATGCCTTACACATACATTCGATTTTCACTTATACTTTATTTATTCGTCAAATAATCATTCTAACAAATATCTACACGTTTCTATTGCACAGTTTGCTCCTTGTGCATGCCACACTTTCACGCTTTTTTACTTGCACAATATTTCCAATGCCACGGGCGATTTAGTTGCAGGCCGGTTCGAAAAGTGGGTCCCTACTGTTACTTTTATTAATAGAAATCGGCTTCACGAAACAATGAGATTCGTCCTGCTGTACGTGTACGTTCACTTTTCGTTAATCGTTGAACGTATCGATTTCATACGTAATCGTCAATTTATAAAAATTCCTTTCGCAAACATTGTTCGATAACTGCACGCTCATTGCGTACGAGCTCCCCAAAACTTCGGATAGGAAAGAACAACGAATGTGCGTAATAGTATCCACGATCAGAGATGCCAGAAAAGCACCGTCGGGTGCACACGCACACATGCCAGATACGCGTACGTGAGCTCGTGGAGTTTCGGAAAGTCGACAAAGGCAAACTGACGCATGCCCTCTTTCTCGATTCTCCGAAGCTGCCCGAAGTAATTTCGGATCGCCTCGTGGGAGTCGAGAGAGAAAGGCTCACATTTGCCTTCTCGCTCTAAACAACTGAAATCCGACCTCCCGTCAACGGCATACGATTTGGATTCTCGAGCCGAGATTCTCGTCTGCCCAGGCATTTTTACTTTCCGACCTATGTAGGCGCACATAAGCAAAGTACCCATAATGAAAAAAAAATTTTGTAAAATTTATTTTATGGAAATACACGTTTTAAGACCTCCTGATCATATTTTAATTATTGAAAAAAAAGAAATTTTTTTTATTCCCATGTATGAGCACACATATGTATATTATTAATACGATTGAATATAAATAGCTGAATGAATTTAAATGAAACTTTACATTTAAGTTTTATGTTCTCATTTCAAAGGCGTGTGGACGGATTCAAATACGTGAACACTAAACGTAACGATGTAATTATATTATTTAATATTTACTAACTATTTAACATAAAGAACATAAAAGAAAGACATAAAACGTAAACGTAAAACTGTGATTGCTCTCGACTAACGTTCGATACAGAGTGACGTTCCTGCAGTCAAAGTCGACCCTTCCTTATTCCTATCTTATAATAATGATCTAAACAAAACGCACGTTCGAGACGCAGTCTCTAAAACGTATTTCAGCTTAAACCTAAACACCTCACTCGATACCTACTCTAGCTTAGACTAAACACTCCTATCGACGCAAACGATAACGGTTCTCCTAGCCACACACACACACTCCTTACAGATTATACCTCTTGTTTCATAGTTGTTCCGATATATAGGCATAATTTATAAAAAATCTTTTAAATGTTTCATATAAATCTTAGGACGAATTAAATTTTATATAAAAAAAATTATATAAACTTTTTCTCTATCTTCTCTAGAAAAGAAAACATTAAATGAAATCTTATACATTACATGCTTACTTAAATCGCATTGAAAACGAATACCACAAATGTTTTAGAATAATGTGCAAAATGTGATTGCGACTTTCGCTAAGACAAATTGAAAACTCGTTTCTAACAAGGAAAAGTTGGAATGGTACCAGGTTTTGGGTTAGGTTTTACTTTGAGATATTATTAAAGTTATTACAGGTACTTATTTTCAGAAATAGAACTATGTTCACCACTAATCAGCGTGGCGTGAGTGATGAGGTCTTTGCCTGCAAGTTCCGAACTTCTTCTGCTCTGCTGGTTCGAACCCTGCCTTGAACTTTTTTTTTTTATTTTTTCAATCATACTTTAATCGTACACTAAATATGACATGTATTTTTGTCTGACCTTCGAATATTTTTTTTTAAAGTTAAATTTAACCGATTACATTTAACATATGTTATTTTCAATGTACGAAGTACATGAATCTGGATGGTACTTTTCACAAAAACAGTCAAAACATAAAAATTTCAAACACCACGTACATTTACTGAAAGTTTTGTTTTCACAGAAATAACAAAATTTTGTATTTAACTCTGATGGAAAGACCGCTTCATTTACATTGATAAAATGTGAACGATTTTCGGATAGTCGTACCTTGTAGCTCGTACTTTTTACCTTATACTTCAGGTAAAAAGGGATATAGCTGGGAAAAACAGTTTTATGACATACCTGCTAACTTATGTTACTGTTCTACAATGAAACGCTATGTTTTGTACCTTTAAAAATATTCGACTATGTCCTTTTAAAATTTAAGATACAACCCATACTTTGTATTAAACTGGCAAACGGGATCACTTTTCCTTTGTTTCTAGTTAGTTCTATTTAGTTCGTCATAACAAATTGATACGGTTATCTGAAAACAATCGAGGAAAATCATTATTAATTAATTTCTGCAATTATTAATTCTACTGTTTTGTTTGTTATAAAAGTAAGAACTCTTCTTATTGAAAAATACCACAGCGTGCACAATACTGGTAAAGAGTGGAATCTCATTTTAATTTATTAATTTTCAATCTTAGAGTATTTTGATTTTCAAAAATCGTATTAATAATATACATATGTGTGCTCATACATGGGAATAAAAAAAATTTCTTTTTTTTCAATAATTAAAATATGATCAGGAGGTCTTAAAACGTGTATTTCCGTAAAATAAATTTTACAAAATTTTTTTTTCATTATGGGTACTTTGCTTATGTGCGCCTACATAGGTCGGAAAGTAAAAATGCCTGGGCAGTCGAGAATCTCGGCTCGAGAATCCAAATCGTATGCCGTTGACGGGAGGTCGGATTTCAGTTGTTTAGAGCGAGAAGGCAAATGTGAGCCTTTCTCTCTCGACTCCCACGAGGCGATCCGAAATTACTTCGGGCAGCTTCGGAGAATCGAGAAAGAGGGCATGCGTCAGTTTGCCTTTGTCGACTTTCCGAAACTCCACGAGCTCACGTACGCGTATCTGGCATGTGTGCGTGTGCACCCGACGGTGCTTTTCTGGCATCTCTGTCCACGATCATGCAAAAGTACCACGTGATGAATCACGCGACTTTGATGTATCACGTGATGCTGTTGATAAATGTTCGACAAAAACATTATCAGGTTACGCGTATTCACGATCGTACATCGAAGATTTCAGAATTCGTACACGTGTTTGCTCTCACTTCCGAACAAGTGTCCAATATATTCGATGTAAATGGATACGTAATTTTACGGTCGACGTACATATATCGTACGGAATTTTCTCTATTTGTCAGCGGGCACATTATTAAATTATTATGGCCCACAGAATCTCTATAAATAATAATCGCAAGTTCTGGTATTTTCTGTCTTGATCCAATGAAAGCAATTATGTCATGAGCTTGTCTCCGACTTCCGAAAAAAATTCACGACTCCGTACGATGTTCATCGACCGCAAAGGGTTAAGATGGCGCCATAGGTCAAGCACGTGCTTTCTTTAAGTACAACTTAGGCATAGAATTTCGATGGAAGTCTGCGAAAAATATTAAAACGGTGCATGAAAAATTTATAATAAAGTATTTCTCTCCGTTATATTTTATTATTTATTTAATGCTGCTTCTAACGATGTTATCAATCTACGTTAGTTACCAGTAGATTATAGCAAGATAATAAACCGTGATTTACTCAATCTGCTATTATTATTGTCAATATACTTTTAATTAAAATTACAGATCAGAGAATCGAAACGTAAAAATTTAGTTTCCGCTTTTCGTTACGTTTCTCGAGACCCTGAATTTATGCGTTCATCTAATCGGTTTCGAGGTTGCATGCATATTCATGAATGTCATGTATTAACATCAAGAGGGGGCACATTCCGATGATTTCGTAATTGAAATACGCTTAAACTACTGAATATATGTATCCAGTATTTAAAACAAGCGAAGAATATAACCTAACATATTGTATTCCACGTTGATTAAATATCGATATTTACTAATATTTTTTATTCATTCGTGCCATCGATCATTGACTTCCAAACTACGTCACACGGATCAGCGACCGATATTAGTATTAGTATATTTATGATATTTATTCATCGTAAGTGTTACGATTCTTTCAGATTTGTAAATAAAATAGAAACTAGTATGTTATTCGCAATTTAAATACAGTTTGCCTATCCAATCAATCGTTTTCATTTTCGACGTGACGGAGTTAGGTTAATTGTAAATACATGCGTAACGTTTAAAAATTAATATTAATGTCAGAAACGCGATGGCGACACGGATAACATTGTCGTCAGTGGGATACGTGAATTCTTGCGTACATTTCTTCAAGAAAACACGGAATATCGTCACTGAAATCGAGCTGATTAGAATCTTTCGATTCCGCTCGATCACCACATTGGACGACTTGCGTGCAATTGGTATGAGTCAAGTCATTGGCTCTCGCGGGCATCGCACGTGGCCATTCGACGAGTGTTTCGTATACGTGAACGCAATACCATCGTGAATCGATGAAACGTAACCACCGTAAATGCGTAAATGCGTTCATACGTGCGAGGCAAATATACACGGAAGCACACATCGAAGATCAAGCAAGCAATTAAGAGTACGTGCACGGTATGTCGAGCAAGGGAATTTTATTAACTTTTACGATTTATTTTAGGGTCTTTTTCAAAATATTATTAGAATAGATTTTTTAAATGACCGTTTTAAATGTAACTTGAATTATCGTTATGTGGCGATAAGTTGTATTGACTCAGCTTATACGATGTCTATCGTAGATATCGAAAGAATAGCAGGGCAAATATTGACTTTTTGAATTTTAACTTGCTTCTTGCTCATTGTATCATTTTCGCATCATCGTAGCCTTGACCATCAGAACGTTACGTGCGTACGTGTGTGCCTCTACACATACACAAACTCCTATTAGATAATCGCAGGACTATTCTAATAGTAGGTGCTTTGCCGGCGTCAATTCAGTTTGTACCATGTTCTTGCGCTGGAAACGAGGATACTATCGAATTTATAAATTAGCAGTATGTTAACATATGGTGTGGCGGTGATGATTAAACGTTCACGACGAAATATTTTTATTCGCTCTGTACACGGGATTAAAAATTAAAGGTATTGCTGTTATTGTTCATGCTCGTTCGTCCAGAATTAGTCAACAAAATTTATTTTCTATTTATCATATAAAACGAAAGGCCACGGTGGAATAAAATTTCCAAAAATACATTTTCTGGTTTTGATATCGAATGTAAACGAATTAAAAAATATTGGGAATTCGGAGGAAATACAAATCTACTAAAAATTAACGACGAAATATTTTTATTCGCTGTGTACACGGGATTAAAAATTAAAGGTATTGCTGTTATTGTTCATGCTCGTTCGTCCAGAATTAGTCAACAAAATTTATTTTCTATTTATCATATTGTGTAAAACGAAAGGCCACGATGGAATAAAATTTCCAGAAATACATTTTCTGGTTTTGATATCGAATGTAAACGAATCCAAAAATATTGGGAATTCGGAGGAAATACACATCTTCTACAAGTAATCTACTAAAAATTAACGACGAAATATTTTTATTCGCTTTGTACACGGGATTAAAAATTAAAGGTGTTTGTGTTATTATTCGTGTTTCGTTCGTCCAGAATTAATTAACAAAATTTATTTTCTATTTATCATATTGTGTAAAACGAATGGCCACGATGGAATAAAATTTTCAAAAATACATTTTCTGGTTTTGATGTCGATAAATGGATCTAAAAATATTGGGAATTCGGAGGATATACACAATTACAAACACATCTACTACAAGTAATCTACTAAAAATTAACGACGAAATATTTTTATTTGCTGTGTACACGGGATTAAAAATTAAAGGTATTGCTGTTATTGTTCATGCTCGTTCGTCCAGAATTAGTCAACAAAATTTATTTTCTATTTATCATATTGTGTAAAACGAAAGGCCACGATGGAATAAAATTTCCAGAAATACATTTTCTGGTTTTGATGTCGAATCTAAAAATATTGGGAATTCGAAGGAAATACACGATTACAAACGCATCTACCTTTACTGGCTTGTTTATGTGTACGTAAAGATTACATAAGATGTAACGCGACATACTCTTTGACAGAATCAGAGGATCACCTCGAATTAAATGTCAGGGACGAAAGAAGTAGCATCAATTTAATAGCGAAATTTCTTATTTTTACAGCAGCTAATCTAAACGGTTCTTTTGGAAAAATTTGATTTGAATGAATTTTATTACGACAGTAGTTATTACGTTAGCTGTTTGGATCCGTGATAAACTAGTAGAAACAAAACAATTTTCCACTAGAATCGTATGCAAATATTAGCAGCAAATGTTGTTTTCTTTCTACATTTACTATTCGTATCGAATATTTTATACATTTTTCTTGGTTCATTTCTGATTTTCTTAAGATCAATGCATTATGACTCGATGTTTCAGCTTATTGATGATACTTTAAATCGTAGTGATCTTAAGAAAGTGCAAATATTGCTCGCTGTGTAATGCGATAAGGAGGAAAAAGTGCGCCGAGATAAGGCACGTATTGAGAATTTTACACCATAGATCGATGATATGTCATAACTGATTGTTTGCACTCTTTCAAGATGATGATTCCATTGCACAACGCTCGTAACGTTAATTAAGAAAAATAAGCTCATACGACACTCGTCTATTACTTAAACAATTCTATTCCTTCTTCACATTTTGACCCATTTACTTTGCACATACTACTTATCTCGCTGAATAAATAAATATCTGCATTCGTAAATTTCAATTCAAGAAAATTCTATTACTAATAAAAAATGTTAAATTCATTCGTGAGACGCGATTTAGCTCGTTTGAATAGATAAAAAAAAAAATTTGTTAATAGATTCCGGATTCACTAATGAATCCACGAACGAAACGTAAACAGAAGTTGGTTCGCGAATGGATCGAAATTCTATTCGTTAATGGCGAACAAAATTTTCCCAGACGATGTAGTGGAAGTTCGAAAGTTTATCAAAAATATATCACACGGCCACCGTGGGGCGCTAGATAATGGAAAAACGTATAAATATTGATGAGATAGGTAATTTGAAATTCTCTCGAACAGCACGAACTAGATGTAATTACAAAGTATCCAGTCAGAGGTGGATAGATCGTTGTTGTGTCAAAGAACTCGATTTACAAATATACCCTGGACGATCAGGTGTGTTTGTACTTCGGAACCGTGCATCTTTCCGAAGATGTGAAATACTTATCGCGCTGAATGCCTCGAACCAGTCGATGTCGGACTGTTGAAGCGATAGGTCGAGGCTCAGAGTGCTGTTTTCATTTTATTTTTTTTTTACTTCTGGTTGCAACGACGTTTCCCCGCGAACGTTTCCGTGATTTCTCACCGATAACATTTTCACACAGTGGACTTTTTTGTTATCATGTCGAGTAAGTTGTATGGTGCTTACTTACGATAAATATTCCGACGATCGTTCGCCCGTTATCGTCAGTGTTTTTTTCAAACGTGCGTCAAAGCCCGCTTGATACTATTTTCAAATCAGATTTACAGATCTAGCCGAACGATAGCGGATATAAAAACTGTTCGACGCCAGTTCTTCTTAGACCGTTTCCATGTTTTTGTTCAGTCCAAAGTGATTGTTGGCTCGTAGCAGTCAAAGAGCTCGTGTTTTGTTTTGTGCCCTGTGTATTTAATATTTACACATTAATAGGTACAGAATTTCTATTCGACGTTCGCGCACATGGTCTTCTGAAATGATTCCGTGGCGGCGGTTTTCGCGTTTACTTGCCTGTATGATTCCGTATATTTATAGAGTGCTGTAGAAAAAGTGTCATTACCATGATGTGGCCAGTTCTTTAACGTTACGTAAGATTGTAATCTTCGTGGAAAAAGTTAGTTCTAGTATGGATCGCGTATTGTCGATATTTATATATATTTTTAAAAAATTTTTTACAATTATAAATAATCGACTGACGTGCGTTTAGTAAATTTAATTGTAGGATCTTCCATTCCAAGTCTCGGTTAAAAAATATTTTCCTGTTGTATTATGGACTTTTGTTTGGAGAAAAACTATGACGCTCGTTTGTATATTTAATATCGTGAATATTATCATATTCGTAAGTTCTGAAGATGATCTGTAATTTTCATCGTCTTCGTAAATTCACAATATAATTATTCGTACATCCAACCAGTTCTATAATCTTGCCGCAATTATGTTCATTGTGGACACCAAAAATGATTGCAGAGCGAGGGATAAATATTTTTTACATTTGCAAATTCATAATACGTTACGTAACAGTGTTCGTTCAAGTTTGAATTATTCGTAAGTTCAAGTATTTCTAGGAGATGTATACACGATATTATTCATACAGCTTGCAAGACTATTCGAGGAAACAGTGGAAAAAAGTAAATTAGCCATTCCTTTTCAATCTTGTGCGCGCGATGACTCTCATTTTTACAGCCATCGTGCGATAGAAATTTTCAATAGCTTCTTTGTGCCACGATTCACTTTGGATTCGTTTCTTTAGCTTCAAAATTAGAGAACACAGTCTTTGAAAGGATCCTTACTTTCTGGATCTCTGATCTTTCTTCTAGGTATTCTTTCTGAGCGTCGTGGCGGTCATCGGTGTGCGCCATTAATCTTTCCATTTAGTCAACAAAATAAGGACATTTGTGTTTCTTTAAAAAATGTTTAATTTCATTCGATATCTGCTTAACACAAGAATTTGCAAATGAAAATGTCACTCAAGGTCACTCAGGGGTTATTCCCGCCATTCCGTTCGGTTACTCCATTGCTTCCGCTTTCGTTTCTTCGTTTCACTCTTCCTTTCTGTTGGCAATAGTGACACAGATACCACAAATCTGCAAATTACGCGCTCTCAACGCGATTAACGTAACTTCGAGTAAATATATTTCATTTAAAATTAATAGACTGCCTCAGAATCAAACGTTATCTCGCAGAAAGTTTTCAAACGAGCTCGACGAACGTAACACGAATTTTCTTTTGTTCCGCAGAAGCATCCACGGAAGAGAGCCTGAATTTCATCAGGCAGTCCTTGAAATCGAACGAGATGGATCACCTCGAAGGGACTCACTTCGACGGATTGTATCCACACGTGTTTGTCACACTTGGAGCCTCCGTAAATACTATTATTTTTTAATAAAAATCGTCCTAATAGAATCATCAAGTAATACCCAAAAATATTTATTTTCCAGGCGCTTATAGAATATGGTAGAGAGAAAGTATCGTTATCGGTTTCTTGCACTTCGTTTCAATAACGTTCATTTAGATGCATTATTCGAATAACGCAATTGTATCGGGGAAAATATTCGGACGAAGATTTATTCAAAAATGACTGAACAATGACCGACGAATACTGCCATTGTTAGCGACGAAACGATCGGTTCGCACGTACCCGCGAATCTGTAACCTTACACTTAGCCGTGTGCACGTGCATAAAAAGCGTGACAAAGAATATCGCGTGCTAGATTGTGCGTAACATTGAATTCACGTGTGAAGCTTCACGCGTTAGATAGCGACCACCATTTTCTACCTGCGCAAAATCGATTTAGAACCTCTGCAGTCTTCATTCTTACGATAACAAAAAGTATCGATTGCTTTAAAAAATTCAATCTTCAACAAAATTTTCAAGTCATAATTTTCAAATTTCAAAATTTCAAGGTCAATTTTTTATATTTCTATTACTGTACAATTCTAGTCGAGAATAAGATAAATTGAATTTTCAAAAAAAATTTTCGAGGTCATAATTTTCAAAATTTCAGGATCAATTTTCATTTTGTATTTTTCATAATTCTATTACTGTACAATCGTAGTCTAGAATAAGATAAATTAAATTTTCAACAAAATTTTTCGAGGTCATAATTTTCAGAATTTCAGGATCAATTTTCATTTTGTATTTTTCATAATTCTATTACTGTGCAATCGTAGTCCAGAATAAGACAAATTCAACGACCTATAATATGTTGACCTTTAAATGGCCTTGAACATCAAAAATCGCATGTAAATTTATATTTTCGTGGTTCGTAGGGCGACTTGGCTAGGAAAAAGATCTACCCGACGCTATGGTGGCTGTTCAGGGACAACCTCTTACCAAAAACTACGAAATTCGTTGGTTACGCGCGTACTAACATGACCGTGGCGCAACTACGGGAAAAATGTCATTCGTACATGAAGGTGAAGCCGGGCGAGGAGCGAAAGTACGAAGAATTCTGGAAGCTGAATCACTACATCGCCGGATCGTACGACTCGGAATTAGCGTTCACGATGCTGAACAACGAGCTAAAGAAATATGAGCAAGGCTACCCGAACGCTCACCGATTGTTTTACTTGGCCTTGCCGCCGAGCGTGTTCGAAAATGTCACTGTGCACATTAGAAACGTTTGCATGGGCGAGAAGTAAGTAACCGCGATATTAGAGGCACGTTAAACGCATTTTGGTCAAGTTGTTATTCCACCACGATCGATCCAACTTGATACCGATTGTTTATAACGAGAAAAATAAGATAGAATTTATAAAAACTACTGGATGATATTGGGAGTATATTTATAAATACTAATCTGTACAGAGATAGTAATTTATAACAAGATTCGTTAAGTTATTTAAAATGTTATTGCACGTTTTCGATTAATTTCTCTCATGTTGAATAATACTTATCGAACACCGCGTTTAATCGCTCGATTTCCTATATCCACGATAACATACACATCAATGTTGGACAAATTTTAATTAAAATAATAATTTATAGTTATTATTAAAATGGATAATCGTAAATCGCTCACGACTGACGATTAAATTAATCATACGTTCCTCGTTACAACTAATGATTAAAGCATTCGTTAGCCATTCTCTACCGTCGTTGATTAAATTAATCGTTTTTAAAAAAAAACTCGATTTGCCCCTAAACTTTGCGACAAGTATTATTTGTTTTTTACATTCTGTAAACACTCTAAAAAAATCGACGACAAAATTCGTGTTAACGTTAACGAGATGTCCATTTTTGTTTGCAGAGGTTGGTCCAGGGTGATCATAGAAAAACCTTTTGGCAGAGACGCCATCACGTCGCAACGTCTGTCGGATCATCTGGCATTGTTGTTCAAAGAGGAACAGATTTACCGTATCGATCACTATCTGGGGAAGGAAATGGTACAGAATCTAATGACCCTTAGATTCGGTAATAGAATATTCAGCCCTACGTGGAACAGGGACAACGTGGCGTCTGTGCAGATCACGTTCAAGGAACCGTTTGGTACCCAAGGTAGAGGCGGCTACTTCGATGAGTTCGGTATCATAAGGGACGTGATGCAAAATCACTTGTTGCAAATCTTGTCCCTGGTCGCGATGGAGAAACCCGCGTCTTGCCATCCGGACGATATCAGGAACGAGAAGGTGAAGGTTTTGAAGTGCATGAAACCTCTGGAACTCGAGAATGTCGTGTTGGGTCAGTACGTTGGAGATCCAGACTCGAAGGATCCTGACGCACGATTGAGTTATTTGGACGATCCTACTGTACCCTCGGGCTCCAATACCCCCACGTTTGCTCTTGCTGTTTTGACAATTAATAACGAACGTTGGGACGGTGTTCCATTCATCCTTAGGTGCGGAAAAGGTGAATGACACGCTTATGTCTTATATTATACTCTTTCAAATTCGTTAACCCCTTGCTGTACAATGATGAGTCTGACTTGTTATAAGTTCTTGATGTCAAGTTTCACAATCATGAGGCTACTCACTCATCATCAAGTCTCATAATTTACATTTAAGAAGTATTCATAAAACCTATATAGAAGTATAACCTATACATAAGAAGTATTCATACCTTGTACGAACAAATTTAAACAAAATTAAATAGTATGGGTTTGATAAATTATTTGAAATTAAATTGTACATCAAGAGGTTAACGAAGAGGATTTAAAGTATTGGTAAATACATTTTCATTGTTGATTAGCTTTAAACGAACGGAAGGCGGAAGTACGAGTGCAGTATCAGGATGTGTCTGGTGATATATTCGATGGAAAGGTGAAGAGGAACGAATTGGTGATAAGAGTGCAACCTGGTGAAGCTTTGTATATTAAAATGATGACCAAGTCGCCTGGTATTACCTTTGATATGGAGGAAACTGAGTTGGACCTCACGTATGGTAGTAGATACAAGGTATAGACTAATTTTTTATTTAAAAAAGTCAAGTTTTTAAAGCCAAATCATTACAGTATTTTATTTGATGTTACATGATAGCTTATTGCTACTGAATTCTTAAATTCAAATTAGTATAAAAACTATGTACGTGAAGGGAGATGTCACTTAACGTTGATTACAATGTACAAAAATTAAGAGTCGCTGAACTATAATTTTTGATTCGCTTGAAAAGGGTTTGCTATAGCTAAAACGTCGCATAATAAAGTAACCAACTGTTACTACGGTTGATTGTTTGCTGTAGGATCTAAAACTTCCCGACGCGTACGAACGATTAATTTTGGATGTATTTTGCGGGTCGCAAATGCACTTCGTGCGTAGCGATGAATTGTCGGAAGCATGGAGAATCTTCACGCCTTTGCTCCATCAAATAGAGAACGAACAAATTCAACCGATTTTGTACAAGTAAGTCGCGATAATATACAGGGTGTTCGGCCACCCCTGGGAAAAAATTTCAATGGGGGATTACAGAGGCCAAAATAAGACGAAAATCAAGAATATCAATTTGTTGATGGAGGCTTCGTTAAAAAGTTATTAACAATTAAATTCAAACATTTCGAATCGTTCTGGAAAAATTATTTTCGGTTGCGCGGGTCAATTACAACCATTTTTGGTCATTAGACACACCCTCGAAATCCTATCCGCTTTCGAGAAAAAAATTCGAGAAGGCGTGAAATTTTTCGACTGAAAACAAAAATTTCAAATCGTTTTGGAAAAATTATTTTTAGTTTCAAGGGTCAATTACAATCATTTTTGGTGAATAGACATTCCCCCGAAATCCTAGCCACTTTCTAGAAAAAAATTCGAGAAGATACGAAATTTTTCGACGGAAAAAAAATTTCAAATCGTTTTGGAAAAATTATTTTCGGTTGCGGGGATCACAATTACAATCATTTTTGGTGAATAGACATACGCCCAAAATCTTGCGCATTTTCGAGAAAAAAATTCAGTACGAGCGGAACTTTAAACGTTAATAACTTTTTAACGAAGCCTCAATCAACAAATTGGTATTCTTGATTTTAGTCTTATTTTGGCCTCTAGAATCTCCCATTAAAATTTTTCCCAGGTTTGGCCGAACACCCTGTATATACAGTACAACGGGTAGAAAATGATTTCTAATTATTATTGCAATTTTAGATACGGATCTCGTGGCCCTAAGGAAGCCGATGAAATGGCAAAGTTAAATAATTTCGTGTATTACGGCTCCTACAAGTGGGTGAAGCCATAGCTTCTGGAGTTCCTTTGATATACATGTCGAATGATGTGCACATGGTATACAAGTCGCAAAAATCTGTACTACGATTCATTATCTGTGATCATAACATTCCGTATTTTTATATCAATATATACACGGTACTTACTTGAAATTTTATATACATATACTACATGATCCAAACAAAGTATTACAAGCTGTTTTCATAGAAGCCTATGAAGATGCCTCTTTGCTTGGAACACATGGTATAAATAATTTATATATTTATTGAGCTAATACACCTTGTAAGTGTGAAGCACGTTTTGCTGGCAAAAGTATACAGATAATGTAATTACGTTCAAATGACACAAACTAAGGACTGTAAGATATACATATACATCTTAGAAATATCTATAAATAAAATATAATCGTTCCATTTTGTAAATTTGTGTTGTAACGTCTTAGGAGACATTGTTTTTAGGATCTTGTTCGTCGACTGTGTTCTGGGGTCGGTTAGTGTCAATTATATTGACCATCATTTTATGCAAAGGTTCATGGGGTACGACGTATCTGGACTTAGGATCAGTTCAGATTTCAATTTATCATTCAAGTTCATGATGAGACCTTGACTGATGACTCCTTCGAAACGAAACGCACCTCTTTTTTTGCAGTTTCCGTTTTCTTTCCTTTTTCCTGACTCTTTCTACACAGTCCATACGCCACGACCGGAACCCTAGGATAGGGCTCAGGTAACATCATAACTTATAGTAATTGTTACAAAATCTTTTATACATTTTTATACGAGAAATACAGTTTGAAAATTTCGAGAACAATTTAAAAATTAGAACTTGCACGTAGACCATAATTTTATTTAGTTCTGGAGATTTAAACATTACGCCAATCACGTGGAAAATTCTGTACAGTAGACGAAATATCATAAATTATAGAGTACGTTGCGCTGAAATTGTTTAATCATATAATTATTACGCAATAAATAAATGAGAGAAAGTTGAATTATTCAGTCTATAAATCGCATAATCTACACTTCACATATTCAACCATCGAACGAAATGATGTCACTGAAGTAAAATATCGATGTGTTTTCATGTAACTGTTATTCAGCTCTCTCATACAAAGAAATCAGCTAAACATAAACACACGGGTCAGACATACATGATTGCCACATTTAATGACCAACAGAGAAAATGTTCAATGTACAAAATTACCAAATTTATGCAATTTGAATTAAAATAATACGATACACATTCATATGTTTGTAAATACCGCTGTAGAGTTAATCCATCGTATATATGTATATTACCGCTGTCATAATGAAAAAATCGAGTATATATAAAAATTATTCAAAATACGAGAAGTTGAAATTGGTACGCGATTCGCAGATTGCTTGTTACATTGTTAAAAATTAATTTACAGAAACTTAGCCGATAAAGTGCGAACAGTATGAATGATACATTTGAATAAACTTATCCTAGTCCTTCATAAATACGTAAAGAGGTGGTTATATATCCACTTATAACTATATAATAGTAAAATATTGCTACAAGTAATACACATTCCACAAATTAAATACACGCAAAGATAAAAAAAAATTACACGTAATCATGCAAACAGTCGTTTTTTTTCACGTCTTTTCATTAAACGTCTGCTAGATTAGGACCATTCACAGTTCGGTGTGTACAAATCAAATGCAAATACAGTTTTTGATGTATCGATATGACAATGTTTCTTTCTCTTTCTTTTTTTTTTTTAATCACTTCACAATAGTATATAAAAACATCAAAAAAATTTGATCGAGGTCTATAAGTTGATGAAAATACGATTTTAATATATATTACACTTATTAAAAGTTTAAATTTCGCACGATGCAGGATCTAACAATTCGTCCCAATTAATACTTCTCTGAAATACTTCTTGCTGCAACCATAATTCGTAATGTTGCTTAAACTCGTCACTTAGTTTAACGTTTACTCCGAGTACTGATACGACAGACGTGTCAACGGGCTCCAAATCCTTGTCTTCGGTAGCATTCGAATACCGGCGATTGTTAAACTGATCAACGCATGTACGCAATTCGCATTCTTCCACTTGGAAATCCCATGGTCGTGCTTCGATATCTAAAGACAATTAAATCAGATCATTTGCATGTTTTACTTATAAATTTAATGTATAATAATTCTGAACGTGTCGTAGCGTACCATTGCCATAAGCCCAATCATCGTTCAAGCGATGTCTGACTTTCGTATAAATTACACTGATTGTTTTCATATTAGTTTTTCGCCACTGTCGTCCTAAGTATTTCGTTTGCATTTTTAGTAATTTTAGAACATATAATTGCATCATCGCGTGTCTAACTTTTAGCGTGCGCTTTAATATCGGCGCCGATTTAAAGACGACCAGCATCTATGAAAAGAAACGAAATTAAAGTCTGTTGGTGAATAAACTAGAAATTCCAATAAATATGTTATTTACCATAATTCTACTATGCTTCCATTTGGTCAGTTTGTTAAGAATACGTAATAAATTAATACAAGTAAAAACATTTCTCCAAGAATACGCTTGACTGTCCCCGATCTCAAGATTTTCTATGGTCAACTCTGGTTGATCACCAATAACACACATAGGAAAGTCCAAAATAGGAATACTGTAAGCGGGAAAAGTTGGACCTATTCTGTTTGTAGAAATTTTTAATAAAATGATAACTCTAGGCGAACACTTACACATGCTTGGCTTCAATGTAAGCTATAATATTCTGATTTAAAAATTTCAAAACCAATGGTATGCAGTTAGCAAATACTAAGTGTTGTGACATGAATTCGAACTGATACACGTGATTCAGCTTGAAATGTTTCAGCAAAAGTAGCAGAATTGCAGAAACTGCTTTAGCGATAATTTCTTTATGTCTGTTTACATCGATACTAAGTTTCATAGATTGTAAAACCGTCATGCTGAAAGTAGTAAAAAAAAATAAAGATATTTTATATGTTTTAATATGAAATGGAATATAGAAAGTACATATAATTTCTCAAAATTCGGCAATTCAAACTTACGGCATTTGTCCCGGCAGAACATCAGCCACTATGTTAGTATTGTCTGTCGAAGCTTTCGTAATTGGTGCGGCAGCGAGTAAAATTTTTAATAAAGCAATCATGTATTGTGGAAGATTTGGTAATATAGCTTGATACAAAATTTCTGTAGGTGTTTGGCGAATTGGTGGTTCCGGGGTACTCATAGGGTTTCTAGCTATTTCTTCCTCTTTTTGTATTTGGACTTCAGCTAACGATGTGTACATGTGCTGCATGGATAATAATAAAATATATCACTCTAGGTACAAGTAATATGATTAGGTAAAACTCATGAATATCAAACTTACTCGTTTAAGTGTATTAACGCCTTCGTGTATTGGTTGTGGCAACCCTGCTAAACTTTCTCTATCTCCTTGTAATTTGTACCCAACAAATTTTAGTCTCAATACGTCGAGGAAGGTGTCCACATCCTTTTGTCTCACCTTTGGTGTCCATGGTAAGCCTATAAAAGTATGCTACATTTGTTGCCGCCACGTGTGAATTAGGATAATCACTAAAGGATTAGGTCTGGTTGGATGCAGGTTTCAATTTTCTCTGGGAGCAATCCCCGGTTAGACGGCAATTGAAGTAACGCAAATCCTCACGTATTGATCACCAGGACAACACCGGATCATAAATTAATCCAGGTATACTCATAGGAAGAACTTGAATATGAATGACGCGAATAAGAAAACTTTACGAACCTAGTAGGGAGTTATCAACATCGAATGATCAAAGTTTTACGTGTTTCTTAATAATTTAAAATAATTAAAAAATAAAAATGGAAACATAAATGTAATAATAAAGATAGTACATTTTCCTTTAGTAAGCTGTGGGGTACTAGGCCTCATTTGCGTTTGATTATTTTGATCTTCGTAACAAGTTTCCTTCCAGCGAGATTGATCCATAAATACATTCATTTCGCCTTCCGCTTCATTATTTGTACCACTGTTCACTATATCTGCGGCATCGAATTCCATACCCAAGAGCATGGAATTTGGCTCATCCAATGAGCTTTGTTTCAACAGATATTGCTAAAATGAACAATAAAATTATACTTTCGGTAATAACCAGATTCTAGATTAACTGGAATTACATATGATACAACGTACCCGGCGGTATCTATTATTTTTTTTCTGATTTTGATTCTCAAGTAAATCTGCTGCATGAATGGGAGGAGAGCTAGCTCTCATAGTTTTAGCAACTTCTATTGTGTCTTCCTGTAGTGTATCAAGACCAGCTTCTTCGCGATATTGTTTTTTCAGTTGCCTAAGCGTGTCAATACCACCGAGGGATAGCAAGACCAATTTCCACAGGAGCAAAAGAACTTTTTTCATAGGAAAGTGCGGCACTGATCCGCTACAAAAACACGTGACCATACCGAGGAGTTTAACTATCAGCAACTCTTCGCCGTACGGATTTATTAGATCTTCTTTAAAACATTCAACATTATTCTTAAAAATACTGTGTTCTAAATTCTTCATCTCTTCCCTCATCACCTCTGTTATAATGTATAAAACAGATAAAATTACCCTTAAATCGATAGAATCGTCGAGACTAACAGCAATTTTCCTCATTGCGGAGGCAGCCTTTGTACTGTTCCTGGAGATTAAAAAAATAAAAAAAATGCCATTAATTATCACGAAACTTTCAGATCTGAATTAATTTTTCGTGTATAGGGGCAGAAACTCACTCAATTTCAATATTAAGAAGTTCAACAAATGCTGAAAAAACTCCAGCTTCATACAATAACATTACATTTGTTCTAGTCCACTCTTGTTGCTCTTTGTCAGACTGTACTTCAGCCCAGCAACCTTGCGCTAAATATAATATACACAGCGCTGCTTTCATTCTCAGTCGTTTATTGGAAACCTCTAATTGGTCTAACAGTTTGTGAATTACTGATTTCTGTTGTGCCTCTGTCAAATTTTGCCACCAAGGTCGTAATTTATACCACTCCATTTGTTCTTCGAAAGCCTGACAATAGACATATTTTATTAGCTGTTCGTTAACTACGGTACAAATGCGTATACTCACTGTAAGGTTATCGTGTAATTCATATTGCTCTGTATAGCTGTACAATTCAGCAATTTCATTAGCATGTGTGTCCGCATCGTCGTAAACAAAGTCTAAGTCTGCAGATGTAGACGTTTCCTGAATATAAAAATACAAAAATACGCAAGTGACACTGATTGAATGTTAACCCCTTACAATGTAAAAGTATCAAAGATGCCATAAATACTGTATGTACCATATCGTGATTATTCATTTTAACAATTATTGTTCGGTAAAGGATATGCGACGTTGTTCAACGTATCGTGCACTTTGATAAACAGATTGTGACACTCGGGCATTAAACAGTAGTCTGTAGTATATGCTTTTGTCAAGAAAGTTAGAAACAGCCTGAACTTCACGACGTTTATCGTTATTTATTCTTGCCAGGTTTTCACACTTAGTTGACAAAGCATTTACTCACTTCAGTACTGATAAATTGTCGGTGTAGAACTATTTGAGGAAGATCACGCTTCCCGTTCCCATTCGCATCCATCCCTACGTCACATAGCATTTTCTAACAGTGATTGGAGATGCAGGATACGAAACGTAACGCATCTCTGGCTGAATTTACGAAACCAATATCTTTCTCGACTATTCAAATCGTTGATTATTGTTATTCTATCGATCGATCAGTTTTATTATCGATATTTTTTTTCGTTTTCTAATGAAAAAAATCGATATACATATGATGACACGAATTTATGCCTCGTAAGGGGAAATCACCAACTTCCTTCCCCATCACCATTCGCTTTTAGTGTCGAATGCACGAACTGCTAGATGGTGTTATTTAAATTTTGTAATAGATTATTGATGTTCGCCTACGCTTAAATCAGCATTTATAGACTTTAAGGAGGCTTCTTGAGGGAGGTCAAGGGAACTGCCACAACTTCGTTATTGTTCAGTTTGTTTTAAAGAAAGAAACGTATTTTAAATACTTCTATAAATTGAGAAGGAAATCTATAGTTTCATAAGTTTAACATGTCAAGTTCATCGTGAGATTTAGTAGAATTTAAAGATTTAGCAGTAGAAAACTCGGCATACGAGATAAGAGTGCTTTCATCCTTCACGGGACTTAAACCATACTCTATGGTATCGTTTCCTGCCCAATGCAAATAGACTGCAAATGTTTTCGAAATTACAGAAAGTTGATTGAAGTCTCTGAGATTATAAACGATTTTGACAATAACAATTTTTACAGTAACGTTGCTACTCCGTGGTATTGCGAAGAAAAAGGGGGTTGCCGTGTGTGGTGATTTTCTCCTATCACGGCACGAATCTGTGGTTTATTGCGTTCGACAATATTGAAAAGCTGCCGGCGTATTCAAAATGTTATAAACGAGAGTTTTTATCGCGGAAATATTCCCACGTAACGTTAATCTGCGAACTGTCGTTGGCAACATTGGATGCTGGCTCGTAGAATCTTCTCAGTGAATTTCATTAGAATTTCTGTAAACATTCTTACGACGCAGCTTCCATTTTGAAAACTGAAGCTACAAGAAAAGCACGTTAAACTGCTCTTCACATACTCTTCGGACAAACGCGTCCGTGTATGCGTCTTTTTCGGTTGCTTCGTATTTTGAACAGATAGTGTTGTAAACAATTGCAGTGGGTGGCTCTATTAAAAAAAAAAAATGCAAGGGACTATTATAGAAAATTTAAGCGGCAGGAAGCTATCGGTACTTGTGATACTGCTGATTATCGCACAAATAGTTTGTTTTCTAATAGGCGGGCTCATTGGTAAGTGAAGAGATGTCAAGAGTTCTGTTTATAATAAAAGCGAAGCTTTATTAAATCGATGATTTTATTCAGTAATTATTTTATTTACCAGAATTCGTCGGTGTACGTATTTTTTTCAACGTTAATGGTTTATATGTTTTTTTATGATCAGCTCCAACGCCCGCCAGTAGCCAAAATATACTTGGGACACCTTGCAAAGATATTCGCGTGAATGGCTCCGAACTTGGGGAAAGGAAATGGTTTTATTCGAGGGGAAAAGGATCTTGTACTGCTGTTGACATGTACCGATCTAATTTGGACAGCCATCATCAAGCATATCAAGTTGTTTACACGTTTCAAGTATGTTCTCTCCAAAGCTCAGTGTATTAAAAAATGCATGAGATAATTGTAAATTTAAATGTATTTTATTTATTTCAGATGCCCTGTCCTCGAAACAGCATGCAACTTGATTATTCTAGATGGCAGCAAAATTTAATTGGTGTTTTGCAAGTGGATATTGTTTACCATAGTCAGATAGAAATTGGTAATTTATCGGATATATTTTTACCTTTAAATTATACATTTTTCGTAATTCAGAATTAGTCATTATGTGTAATATTTAACAGCTCCCAGAACTAAGATAACATTGGATTCGAGGCTTGCTTACAGGAACAAAGGTGATCCGGACAACGATTGGAAACCATATGCTTCCTCCGTGGTGGAAAGAATCCTGGATTGCAGTATCGACGATGTACATATAAAATATATAATCATTTTAGATACTATAGATGTCTGTTGTGTGCTTCAAGGGAAAGTCACTGCAGATCCTAGACTCATAAGTAACCTGCAAAGAAGTAAACTTGAAAGGGAAAAAGGCACTAGACTTTTCCTTACAGCATAGAACAAATTAGTATGAACAAATGTGCATCCTTCATGATTTGCTCTTGAATTTTACAGGCAATGGAACAATACAATTATAACTGCAGCGTAGTACCACTGTTTGAATTGGGATCTTTATTTCACGATTATTATCTTCTAAATATTCGTCTTCCCGCTGACACGGATAGAAACATTAATCAGGGTTTAGGACATATAACTGATTTATGGCTCACTGTGAGTATACAGTGTACTATCGAAAAGTGTTAAATTAATATTATATTTTTTACGTTTCAGGCTATCAATCAAAATGGCGGATTTACAAAGGTATGGGTGAGTTTGAAAACCATTTATTTCCCAATTGTCATATGTATCCTTGCTTGGTACTGGAGGCGAGTACACATGCTTTCGAGATCACCAGCTCTATTGGAATATTTGCTTTTAGCATTGGGCACAGCACTAACGTTTTTAAACAGTATGTTGCACATTTTCGATTTATTTCACGCGCCCAAAGATGTCCATGTTTAATTGTAATATTGTACTTTTCAGTGCCTTTGGAGTATTTAACGCTTGCCTATGATATGCCATTTATGCTTTTGTTGGGCGATATTCGGCAAGGAGTGTTTTATGCAATTCTTTTGTCATTCTGGCTTGTGTTTGTCGGAGAACATCTTATGGTAAGAATATAGCATAGGTGTGAAAATAGCAATTTGGTTGTATAAAATTGATCGAATTTAATATACTAATGGCATGTATTTTTCTTACACGTCGTCTCTTGATCAAATAGATACAGGTGAGTTAGCTGTGCTGTGGTTAAATATTATAGACTTATCACTCCTATAACATTCTCGTTACTATTTAGGAAGGTGAACAAAGAAACTCCTTGAAATGTTATTGGCGTCATTTGTCTGCAGTAGGAATCGGTTGCTTATCGTTATTTATGTTCGACATGTGCGAGCGCGGAGTACAATTGAGAAATCCGTTCTATTCGATTTGGGTTACAGATCTTGGCACTAAGTTTGCCGTATCCTTTTTAGATCAAAGAAATTCTTTTTTTTTTTATCACGAAATACTATTATAGATTCCTTAACTTGAACGAAACAGTTGTCATTCATAATTTTGGCCGGTGTCTCTGCTGGTGTATATTTGATATTCTTGACTTACATGATTTGGAAAGTATTCATGAATATTAGCGCTAAAAGGGCTGCATTACCTAGCATGAGTTCGGCACGGCGTTTACATTACGAAGGCGTGATATATCGATTTAAATTTTTGATGATAACTACATTGTTGTGCGCGTCTTTAACTATTCTTGGATTTATTCTCGGCCAGGTATTTATATTGCAATTATATTTGCAAAATTTAATTGTCTGCATAGCGGCGAATAACAGAAAATTATTTCGTGCATTAACCTAAATATACACGCGATATAGGTTGCAGAAGGTCAGTGGAAATGGGACGAAGAATTACACTTAGAAATGACATCTGCATTTTTCACTGGTGTGTATGGAATGTGGAATATTTATATCATAGCATTATTGTGCCTGTATGCACCTTCGCATAAACAATGGCCCATCGAACCATCCGGTAAACATTAATTTTTTTATTTTTCCTATATGCATTTAGATTTCTGATCTAATCTTTGTTTAATATTTTACAGAAAATAGCATTAGCGAAGAAATAGAATTTTCACGTTTGTCGACTGATCCCAACGAGATGTTGTCTCTGACAGCATTTGCACGAAAATCAGCAGTAGAGTAAATAGTATAGATATGTTGGAAAATAGTAGAAGGACGGCCAATCGACCAGTCAACACTTTTGTACTTAAACGTTGAATACGTCAAACTATAAATAATAATTTAATTGAGGTTTTTCGATATTTATAGGAAACTAGATGACTGATAATACTCCGATAAGTAACCTTTTTATGCCAAAATTAATTATTTATTAGAATTAATATTTCTTAAGCTTTATTCACTTTGTAATACATGTTAGTTTTTAATGCGTAATTACTTAAAAATTGAACTGACTAATTTCGTCGTTTAAAGATGAAATCAATGAAACAGTCACGTGATCCATCTCTAGGTTTTCCATTACTTTTATTTTCGTACACGATGTAGTGAAATAACGCGTAGTATATTTATTTTTAGGAACATTCTATTTTAAATCTAATCGATATTATTTTAGTAAAATCCACTGAAAACTCTAAACAATCATAATATCATTGCCATACTTACAGTAATAATCATTAAGCGATCTCACAAAATCTATTTTCTTTAAGGATAAGTAATCTATTCCGTCGTTTTATACTACATATCACTATTGGGCATTTATCTAACATTTATAAACGCGCATTTAATTATACTCATATAATATCGACTGCCGGAATTCATATTTTCGTTCATTCTGTTTCGCTGTCATCTAAAAATTATTAACACGCATTTGGCAGTATTAAGTTCCTCGACGCATTTTTAATATTATACACATTTTACAAAGATGTATTACAATTTCGATACATTATTAACAAGTTTTTTAGACTTTAGAACATGCATGCTGCAACTTAGAAACGAAAAAAAAAGAGAAGGTGCAATAAATCTGTAACATTCTACTAGGATCAATTTAGCGCACATTAGCTACTTACGTAGAGTACTTATATTTGAAACAGCAGGACTAGTATTTTCTCTACCTGTTACGTATTTAAAGAAGTGTGCGAATTATAATCGCGGAAACGGTTTTGTATTATATAATTAATTGTCATATTTTCTTAATAATTTTATGAATGCGAGATGACGAAAATGAAATGTATTAATGCTACAAAAGATTCGTATTTTTATGCGTACTTATATTATTAAATTTTGGTATGATGTTCAATTTGATAATTTTTTTTTCTGGTGTATTTAACGAAATTTTATATTCACGACTTTTATACACTTTTTAAATAAATCAATTTGTTAGAATAACTTTGTTATGTTATTAAGTATTACGTGTGTATCTAGTATTACGAGCTGTGTATGCTAATCACTTGTATCGCGTAATGGTTATGTATGTATGTGTCGTTATAGGTGCGTCATTTGTTTCAACGTTATTAAACGTTTAGGTAAAACGTAAAGCCGTATGATACCCTACGTGCCGAGTATTTCAATTTTCATCGAATCGTATTTGCAATTTAGTCTCTCGTAAAAAAATAATTGCTCTGTAACAAAATTCTTACCCGTAGTTTTACCAGTGGTTGTGTGTTCAACTTGTCTTAACATGTGTTGAGGGGTTAGCTCCGAATGTCCAGGTTTTCAAGATTCAACAGCTATTGGACTTCATACTGTCGTTTCAAAAAGGTATTTACACGTTATTTATAGATATCTTATTTAATATTTATATTTCATTGTCAGACGTATTAACTTAATAATGCGTTTAATTTAAATTTAAACTTAACGATGTACGTCATCGATGCGTGTTATTTCACAGTGCTACCACGAGCTAGTGATTTCATCGAATAAATACTTCCTTTCGATCGCAATATTAACGAACTTACAGCTAAATTTATGTTCAATCATTCTTGCATTTATTTTACATTCGCACGTTATTAAAGTTACGTGTTACCTATAATTATTTAATACGTCGATGAAAATTACTTAAATTACCTGCAGCATATGGCTGTGCTCGCGAAGTGATTTTACGTTTTATGAAATATAACGTTCATCCAACATTTCGTGCAATTAAATAAGGTGAATTTTGTGTAGCTAGTATCTCGAACAATGAAATATAAACTAGTAACGCGTGTCGCTTTCCAAATTCAAACGAGCGTTCTATTTCAAAGTATTTGCACATGTTTTCCGATTATGAAATTTGAATTGGTTGTCTAACGAATTAGAAGAGGAAGGAAATACTACTTGGCCGTGTTCGAGCAATTCTAGTGATATTAGTCGAACGAAAGAATTAGTAGGGATTCGCGGAGGATAGCAGGGATTTTGTATCGTGCGCGCGCATCCGCTGGCACAACGTGAGACAGAGGTAGAGAAGCAGCGAGCAAGAGAGCAGTGCAGAAACGGAATCAGATGTGGTGAAGTCCGTGAGTTGACAGGTCGTGGGGTGCACGAGTACAGGCGTTTCGAAGTGGCGGAGGCGGAGGAGGTTCAGGGGAAAGGATTGTTTTCTGTGTGAGCGAGAACGTGTCGACGGTACGAGTCTCCGGGACGGGTTCGTCGTTGGCGATGATGAAATGATCCTCTAGCCCGAAGATTTTTGGCCTGGTCCGCACGGACAAAGAGGAAGACGATTCGTATACCGCTGCTGTTCGAGGGATCGTACGCTCGTTCATCCGTAGAAAACATCGTTAAACGCTGACGTCGCGGAATTCGCCTCTCGTGTCGTTTTCCTTCGTGGCGAGCGTCGAAGATCCCAACGACTGACTAGCGAGCGTCGTGCGCGCGTGTCTTTGTTTTTTTTTCCTTCTCGGTGCTGAATAATTGCTCAGCACGGAAAAACAAAGTGTGTTAATACCGGAGTGGTGAAAGACTAAGTTCCTCGTGTATTCTACGGTGGTAAACAATTCCGTAGCAGTCAGAGGCCCTTCCCGATACGACGATCGGAGCTCAGCTGATTCAAGGACTTGCTGCGAAGGGCTCTGTTGCGTTAATAGACGATAAATATGTCGTCCCCCAGCGCTGGAAAACGACGTATGGACACGGACGTTCTTAAATTGTATCCTTGAAATTCACTTTTATTTCTCCTACTCGCTATTTGTGTCTCTCGTCTTCTTTTTTCTACTTCCCCTTCCCCCCTCCTCCCCTCACCCTCTCCATTCCTTCCCTTGACATCGCCACAGTCCCCCTCTACCGCCCTCCCACTCCAACGCTCGTTCTCGCTCTTTCTTTATCTTTCGCTCTATCGCACGTGCTTGCAATCGAGTGCAAGAGAGGCCTGCACATGGTTGCGAACGCAACAAGACTACGTAGTACGACATGCGAAGTTGTACACGATGGAATCGGTTGTGTGTTTATATCGGGTATGATTGGTTTATAGGTCGACGAGGAACAAACGCTGTGCGATATCCGACGGTGTTTCGCGACGATGAGGGATATTTAACTCCTCGTTTCGTCGATGACGGGACACACAGCTGTTTTTAACCAGCTGACTCTCCACGTCCGCTCGTTTGTGCGCAGCTTTATCTCGTTCGTTAACGCACGGTCGCGCAGGTTCTCGAGGTTAGCTTCACTCTTTTTTTCAGTTTCCCCCCTTTTTTATTTTTTCTGTGTCGTGTGTGTGTGTATGTGATGTACATCGTTTTCTTTCTAGATGCGCTTACGGTCCTCGACTGTCCTCGAATGACGCTCGCGGTCAGAATACACTTTGAATTAACACATTCCTGACGGAGCGTAAATATTTAAAGCCGCGCGTCAAAGAACGGGCATGCATGCATAAGTTTGAAACGCAGCGAAGCCCCGACGAACGGTAATTGAGACGTCACCGGGCATGTTTCGACTTTAACCGAACGTTTTGGGAATGACGCAAAGCGACGAACGCTTTTACCGGATGAACGTAAAAATAAAATGCGCGGGGACACCGGTGGCCTACACCGCCGCCGATGCAGGCGCGGGCGCAATCGATACTTTTTCGCGAAAAATATCATCGCCGATAAATCGCGTGACTTCGGTGACTAATAATTTCCGTTACTCTTGCGTACAGTGACCATTCGAGTTAGGCGCAAAGAACAAAGGTAATCCTTTCGTGTTCGAACCTGAAGCCCTGGTGTTGTTTAGATCTCGTTAATCATTGAACAATCGAATTTGTCGTTACGATATTATTAATATCACTGAAGTGAGTTGTTCCTCTCTTATAAATTATTGAGATATAATGTGATAACAATGTGACAATCGATAAAAGAATATGTACGGTACAATGGGTGTAAAAGAGTATTCGTACAATTAAATATTCTCAAACATCCTTAAAACTATGATATTTGCGTGTTTTACGAAAATGTTAAGAACGTTAATTGATCCACGTGCAAATAATAGAATAACTGTAGAAGGCGAAATAATAATAATTGCGATTTAGAAGGATATTTATTTTTTCTTTATCTGCGACTTTTACTGACCGTGACCGACCATGGTCATTGAACTGGTACGAATGTAAACTACACTTATGTACATTTAAAAATAGTCGATGGCCTTAAAATCTCCTTGACACCATCGCGAACAGAAACGTAAACCAAGACGAAACGTCGACCCGTTGAAATATTTTTGATCTATAAAATCCATTTTAAAGATGTTTGAGAATATCCGTAAAATGTTCATTTTATTATTAAAACTTGTAATTGTATATGATTTTATTACAAGTTGTTGTACGAATACTGTTTCCTACATACTGTACACAGGCTATTCGCGCATGTATTAGTCAGTATCGTCTCACGAATGAATCTTTACAACCGATATGTAATATGAATAATTTATTGAATATTCTGTATACAGGGTGTTCGGCTACTCCTGGGAAAAATTTTAATGGGAGATTCTAGACGCCAATTTAAGACGAAAATCAAGAATACTAATTTGTTGATGGAGGTTTCGTTAAAAAGTTATTAACGTTTAAAGTTTCGTTTGTACTGAATTTTTTTCTAGAAAGTGAGTAGGATTTCGGGGGTAGGTCTAATGACTAAAAATGATTGTAATTGACCCCCGCAACCGAAAATAATTTTTCCAAAACGATTTAAAATTTATTTTTCTGTCGAAAAATTTCATACCTTCTCGAATTTTTTTCTCGAAAGTGGGTAGGATTTCAGGGATATGTCTATTCACCAAAAATGCTTATAATTGACCCCTGCAACCAAAAATAATTTTTCCAGAGCTATTTGAAATTTGTTAATAACTTTTTAATGAAGCCTCAATCAAGAAATTGCTATTCTTGATTTTCGTCTTATTTTTTCGATTGACATACCTACGAGATGTGTTATTGTTAATTATAAAATACAGTAAAACTTGATTCTTTTCATTTTGTTCAAATACCTATAATATTTATATTACAGTATTTATATTATAAGTATTTGATCAAAATAAAACGAATCAAGTTTTACTGTATTTTATAATTAACAATAACACATCTCGTAGGTATGTCAATCGAATAATATATATATAATATTCAACAAATTAATCATATCACATATCGGTTACAGAGATCTGTAAAACTGGTTCCTTATCAATTTTTCCATGTACTTGTTGTTCGCGAGAAAAACGCTGCACACGTGCACGAACACCCTGTATATATTCAGGACCTCGATTCTCAAGTGATTGATTTTTGCGTAACGTAACGTAACGTTCCGTTTCGCTTATCATTTGTGTACGGAGGTACCCGTACGAGTGCGTCAGTTTTTCTAGAACGATGATAGCTTCTATACAGAGCTTGTTCGTGCCCCGTAACATCGATCAGTCTTTGTTGAAGCTTACATTAAATTTGCAAGCGCTTCGGCGAGTAAAGTGAATTGGATGCGTTTGTTGGCCGCGCGTACCCTTCGGCAGGGAGCCCGTTGAGTTTTCAAATTTCTAGAAAGCCTTTCACTCGCGCTCGACGTACGCGCGTACGTACGTGCAAACGTTAGCAATAATCTATTTTCGGGGCCGCAGACGCCTTTGCATGCTCGCTTCCTATAAATTTCCAATGTTCAACGTCCGCAGTTTCGTTTTAACCGAATCCAACGGAATCTGATTTTTTCACATATATTTAGAGCCTTGCGGATGAGTCATACGCGAGCCTTTTACACTCTTTGTATACGTTGTACATTCTACGGTTTGCGTGCAATTTAAATATACAGAATGGTTTTCGATCACCGAGCATCGAGTCGATCCTACAACGTTCATATATACGTAGATAACTTATAGTTTCGATAGCTAGAAATTAGCATATACAGGATGTTCAAAACTTAAGGTGTTACTCTACTTGTTAACCCCCTTAACGTACGATTTAATTCCAAGTAATTCCAAACATTTTGTTTAAATTTGCTCGTACAATGGCCACGAAAAAGAATAGATTTGTTTTACGAATATCTCGTGAATGTTAAAATGTGTTCATTTTAGTATAATAAGACTTAGTGACGAATGAGTAGTCTCACGATTGTAAAACTTGATATCAAGAACTTGTCGCGAGTTAGACTCGTCATTGTACGTTAAGGGGTTAAAATAAGATGGAAATTGAGAATTACGAAATTGTAACACCTTTCTTTACTTTCCAACGTGCACAAGTATTTGGAATTCTTTTTCGCGACGTTAAAAAATAGAATTCAATAATGAGAATGTTAAAACGTTTGAGCCTTTTTTTTTTTAGCAAATATTTTATAGAGAAAAGTTATCAAAAGCCTGAGATTTTCATATTGTTGTGATTTATCGTTTTATTTACGCTCCGCATTAATATTGAATAGCGAAAGCCAATTCGACGTCGTTCGTACAGTCCGTAATACCTAGTATTCGAAATAACTAATTCGATAAGAGTGGTTATCGCTTCTTTCATCCGTCGAGAATACTCTTCTCGGGGGGATTCGTTTGTTCCGCGGTGCGCTGGTGCTGGTCGAAAGCTTTGTATGTTCACAGTCGTGAGTTATTTCGCGTACGCGAACGTTGGGGAAACTACGATGTGTCGCGTTTGTTAGCAGCCATTCTTTGTCTTCTTCGTCGCTAAACTTCGATCGAGTTTACGCGCATATCAGGGTTTCTATTTACCGTGATACTCAAAATAATTAAAACATCGTTTCTCGCTGTTCTCCCACTGACTTCGTCGTCGAAGAAATTCTTTTTAGCTATAATACGATCATCGAGTATAGTATTATAATAGGAGTTCAGTCACCTCTGGGAAAAATTTTAATGGGAGATTTTAGAGGCCAAAATAAGACGAAAGTCAATAATACTAATTTGTTGATGGAGGCTTCGTTAACAAGTTATTAACATTTAAAGTTCCGACCGTACTGAATTTTTTTCTCGAAAATGGTTAGGATTTCAGGGGTATGTCTATTCACCAAAAATGACCGTAATTGACCCCTGAAACTAAATATAATTTTTCCAGAACGATTTGAAATTTTTAAATTTTGTCGAAAAATTTGTCCACTTACTCGAATTTTTATCTCGTAAATGCGTAGGATTTCGGGGGTATGTCTATTCACTAAAAATTATTGTAATTGACCCCCACAACCGAAAATAATTTTTTTACAATGATTTGAAATTTTTCAATTTCGACGACTTTGTCCACTTTCTGAATTTTTTTCTCGAAAATGGTCAGGATTTCGAGGGTATGTCTATCCACCAAAAATTATTGTAATTGACCCCTGCAACTAAAAATAATTTTGCCAGAACGATTTGAAAATTTTTTTTCGCCAAAAAATTTAGACACATACTCGAATTTTTTTCTCAAAACTGAGTAGGATTTCGAGGGTATGTCTATTCATCAAAAATGATTGTAATCGATCCCTGCAGTCGAAAATAATTTTTTTACAATGATTTGAAATTTTTTAATTTCGACGAAAAATTTGACCATAAACAGAATTTTTTTCTCGAAAGTGGATAGGATTTTGAGGGTATGTCTATTCACCAAAAATGATTGTAATTGACCCCTGCATCTAAATATAATTTTTCCAGAACTTTGACAAATGATTTGAAATTTTTTAATTTAATTTTTTAATAACATTATAATGAAACCTCAACCAAGAAATTGATATTCTTGATTTTCGTCTTATTTTGGCCTCTAAAATCTCCCATCGAAATTTTTTCCAGGGGTGTCCGAACACCCTGTATAAGTAGGAAAGAAAAAATTAATTGAAATTTACGGAAGGAAAAGTATACTTTTTAATTGGGCGTGTTCCGAATATTCATGCACGTGCTTATTCGTTGGAATTATTAATTTTTTCCACCGCGTGGGTTTTAAGTGTTTTGTTTATGCGAGGCAACCGATTTTCGCAAGATAGACGATTTATAGCGCTGTTGATAAAAATCGGGACGCATCGAAAACAACATATTTTTAACAGATGCAAAACGTATCTATTAGAGCGTTCATCGTGTGATTGCAACGGCTCACCTTGAACGCCCACATGACACGAATGACAAGGTTTACTTCCTCTTCTAGAATTGCAACCGCATATTTATATGTGTGCACTGCTTTAACGTTCTGTTCATTAGTCGTGCTATTCTCTCCTCACGAGGAATGCTTAGTAATTTCGAAGGATACACAGAAA